GGGAAGGGAACAGAGTCTCCGTGTGTCCACAAATGGGCATGCAGAGTCGTCCGTGGGGTACGCCTGGTACTTGGTCCCTGTGCTGTGCGCAGATGGGGCAACCCCGACGCATCCACTCTGAAGTATACCGGGTCGCGTAGGGTCTTGGTCACTGCATGGAATGGGAGAAGGGGAGACAGGAGGAAAGGGAAGGGAGAGAGAGACAGGGAGCGAGAGGAGAGAGAAGGGGAGGGGGGAAAGAGCGAGAGTGAGAGTGAGTGGAGCTGGAGGCACATCCCTCATGCCCCACTCGCCCCTCACTCCCATGCACCTGCATGAGGAGGAAGCTTCCCAATCGCCACGTGCACCTGCATGTCCCACTTGCCCGCAATCCCACACACACACACTGCCCGGCCTTCTCGTCCGCGCTGCCACCTACCTGCATGTCCCACGTGGCGCGCACAGCACGCAGCATGCCTTGCCTCACACTGCATTGCAGCATGCCTTGCCTCACACTGCATTGCAGCATGCCTTGCCTCACACTGCATTGCAGCATCGCCGCCCGCAGCTAGACGCTTCTGACACACCTTTAAGGTGTGCTGCCTGCAAGGTGTGCTGTGCACGCCCTCTTACACACCTTTAACCGTTTCAACGCTCTTATCCTCCACACCTCACTTGAATGACACACCACTGCATGCCCCACTTGTCCACCATCCCACGAACCAGCTCGCCCGCCACCTACCCGCATGTCCCATTTGGCGCGCAGTGCACGCAGCACTATTTGTCCACATCGCTGCCTGCCCTTGAGCATCTCCGTCCACGGCTGCAGGTTGCGCTCCCCACTGTGCTGTGCTCTCTCTCCCACAGTCCCACCACCTTTACCCTTGTCAATGCTTTTAACCTCCTCAACTCCCTTCAACCACACGCACATGCATGTCCCACTTGGCACGGACGCAGCACTCCTTGCCCACATCGCTGCCTTTCAGCATCTCCGCCCACAGCTCCAGGTTGCGCTCTATGCTGTGCCCCCGGCACGCCGACTCGGTGCCCACCATGCGCTCCTCCCTCATCTGCTCCTTGGGCGTGCTGTCCACGTACGCCTTGCCCTCGCGAATCAGCTTCTCACACATGGCCTGATGGGGAGGAGGGAGGGAGGAGGGGAGACGGAGGAGGAGGGAGGTAAGGAAATGTAGGGGTGGGATGCGGAACAGGGGGAGAGAAAACAGACACTCAAGCCCACGGGAAGGGAGAAAACAGTGAAGGCAGGTGAGCTTCGTACAATCCACTAACAATGAACCAATCAGAGCAGTCAGGCGCGTGAGCGATCATCCCCACTGCTCACTCCCACCCCTGTGCCCGTACCAAGTCACAATGAGCCCATCGAAGCAGTCCGAGGTGTGGGTGATCTTGTCCCACGCGAGCCCCAGACGCGCCATGTCATGTCATGTCCGCCAGAATGCTCTCCACTCCACAAAACAAACCCGTCCTTCCTTCACTCAACACAACACAACAATGCCCCGTGCCTCATGCCTTGCAGCACCAGCACCGGTAGTACCACCCGTCACCTGACGTACCACCTCACTCACAACAAACCCATCCATCACACCAGCAAGGGCAGCCCTCCCCCCCCTATCCCCCTCCGCTCCCCCAGCCCCCCTTCTCCCCACACCCCCACGGCAACGCACAATGAGCCCATCGAAGTAATCAGACGTGTGGGTGATCGTGTCCCACGTGAGGCCCAACCTCGCCATATCCGCCAGAATGCTCTCCACGAATTCGTCCTTCTCCTTGCTGGGGTTCGTGTCGTCAAACCGCACCAGCATCTTCCCGCCGTACTTCTCCGCAAAGAACTGGTTCATCAGCGCCGCCTTTGCGTGCCCGATGTGCATAAACCCGCTGGGCTCAGGTGGAAACCGGGTTACCACCTGCCCGTAAACCGCCCCTGGAAGCTCCAGCTCCGCTGGCTGGTCCCCCCCCCCTCCCCCTCCCCCTGTGCTTCCGCCTGCCCCCCCTGCCGCCCCCCCACCGCCATCTCCCTTCTCCTCCTTCCCCTTGCCGCCGCCCTTGCCTGCTTCCTCGCCCGTGCCTGGCCCCTTCTTGGCTGCCGAGGCTAAGGCTTGGGCGGCCTTCCTGCTGAAGGGCAGCAGGCTCGGGGCGAGGTCGGGAGCTTCGGCGGAGACGGTGTTGAACCAGCGGATGAGGTTCGGGTACTTGGCTGTGGGCGACCGGCGTATGCTGTCCCACCGCTGCCCTGTGGCTGCCGTGTCACCGCGTGCACGGGAGTAACGGGAGGTAGGTACGTTGTTGGTACATACACAGAACACTTCAGTTCAGTGCACACACGCTGATTCACGCATATATATTGGTCAACAAACGAGTTATGATTTTCGAACAGCAGGAACGATGCGCTGTGCAGTGCTGTGCTGCGCTGCGCTGCGCTGTGCTGTGCTGCGCTGTGCTGTGCTGTGCTGTGCTGTGCTGTGCTGTGCTGCGCTGTGCTGTGCTGCGCTGTGCTGTGCTGTGCTGTGCTGCGCTGTGCAGTGCTGTGCTGTGCTGTGCTGCGCTGTGCTGTGCTGCGCTGTGCTGTGCTGTGCTGTGCTGCGCTATGCAGTGCTGTGCTGTGCTGCGCTGTGCTGTGCAGTGCTGTGCTGTGCTGTGCTGTGCTGCGCTGTGCTGTGCTGTGCTGTGCTGCGCTGTGCTGTGGCGACGTCGGCGATGGAGAGATCATAGGAGACAAAGAAGGAAGGATATTCCAAGGGAAACCATGCCATGCTGCCATGCCAAGTGCGGTGTGCTGTGCTGCACGTACCAAAGAGGCCAGCATAGATGGCGACATCAGCGATGGAGAGGTCATAGGAGACAAAGAAGGTGCGCGCGGCGAGGTAGCTGTTGAGGTACGCGCACACACGCTCAAACTCGGAGCCGATGCCCAGAGTTGGTGCATAATCGACCACCTCGTCCACCTGGTGGGTGCAGTGCGGTGGGGAGGGGTTTGAGGTGGTGGGAAGCAACGGAGCCGTGCATGGGGGTGTGAGGTGGTGGGAAGAAGCAGGAGAGGTAGGCGTTGAGGCACGAGCAGATGCGTGTAAGTTGGTTAAGCGGCTGGGAGCCCACGCCGACGGTAGGTGCGCAGACAACCATGTCGTCGACCTAACGACGTGGGCTGTGGTGTTATGGAAAAGGCGAAACGTTTCAAGATGCAGCGGAAATTAACACCCTAATAGAGAAGGGCGACGAACGACGGAACCCGCAAGCGAGTCAGCGGCTAAGGTTGTACGCTGAGAGCATCGCAGCTGAGCCAGCTGGCATTCAGCAATTCGCCCCTGCTGACCCACCTGGCACGCGGCGATTGGATCTGAGCCGCCGTAGAAGCCCTCCCGCTGCGCGACGCGGCCGAAATAGCGGAGGATGGTGCCGGCCCCCCGTAGCTCTTCGCTGATTGGTTGCGAGGTGAGGCGACGCGGGGAGGGAGGAACGTAGGAGAAAAACGAGAGGAAAACGGACGAATGGGAGGGAGCAAGGGGTAACTTTTCAGTCGACTCAGAAGTCAGCTCGGTACAAAGGCATGACAATGACGGCGACGATGGAAGACATCGAAGGGTTTCACGCCTATCGGTACCGAGTCGATAGAAGAGGTTTCAGGGGGCAGATGTAACGCGATGCACGGGTTTTACGGAGATGGGATAAGCAAGGATCATGAGGGAATAGGGCGAAAGGGATGTCAAATGGTCCGGTAGACAAGGCGAAAGAAGCTTCTATTGTTCTGTGAAGCTTCGATGGGGTGAAGAATGAGGGAGACGAGGAGGCGTGCAGATGCTGGAGGCGGTAGGGCGGCCACGTAGGTCGAGGAAAAGGAGAGCGAGGCGAGGAGTGCGAGGAGATGGTCACAATCGGCTCAGACTGCGACAGACTATGCTATGACGGAAATTTGTAGGGGAATCTGACGGAATCTGCTCCAGAGAGGGTCTAAGGTAGCGAGGGAGCGTACCCCGAGGGGAGGTACAGCACGGGCGGGGTGCTTCCAGACAGGCTCGCGTCGACGGCGGCATCGATCTCGATCTTAGCAATAGCCGCCGCTCCGATCGCCGCCAGAGGCGCCGCGTCTTGCGGAAACCGGAGGACAGATTTATTAGCCATTTTGGCACGGAGTGGCAGGCGAGAAAGGGTTTTGGAGAAACTTGCTCCGTTGTGGAGTTCCTCGGTCAGCTCCTTGCAACTCTTGTTACGTACATTTCTTTAGACACGGTGTACTTGTGCCCTCTTATATAACTAGACCCATGAATCAAGCAAACCAATCATAGATATATATGTGCATGCTTCTTCATGGCCAGGACTATTAGAAATCTTAAAACTTTCTGAATCAGATTTACAGAATGTCAACCCTGTTCATGTACAATCACATTTCTCTAACAGCCAACTTTCACGTCTGTGTGCTGCTCCACCCAAGGGCAGTGACGCCGCCGTGCGTCTTCTAACGTGTGTGAGAATCGCAATCTCCCGCCCCTCACACCAGTCTTCCCAATCCACCGCCACCACACCGACATGCCTCCGCATCACAGCGGCGACTCATTGGGCCGTGGCAGGCTGCAGCGGCACTGGGAGAGCTGGTGGTTCCCAGGAAGCAGCGCCTTTTGAGGTGCCTTAAACGCCGACCTGCCCTCACACGTCATGCATCACCGCAGCGGCTTCAGTGGGCCATGGCAGGCAGGCAGCAGCAGCAGCAGCAGCACTGGCAGCACCGGTTGTTCCCAGGAAGCGGCAACTTCTAAGCGCCTAAGAGTCTGACCTGCCCTCACATGTCGCACATCACCACAGCGGCTTCAGTGGGCCGTGGCAGGCAGCAGCAGCAGCAGCACTGGCAGCACCAGTGGTTCCCATCCCAGGAAGCAGCTACTTTGGCCTCACACATGATGCATCACAAGAGCAGCTGCAACGAGCCCTGGCAGGCAGCGTTGGTGCTGAGAGCGCTGGTGGATTCTGGAAAGTGGCGACTTTTCAGGCACCTCCGACACTGACCTGCATCACAGCAGCAGCTCCAGCGGGCTCTGGCAGGCAGCGTTCGCGCTGAGAGCACTGGTAATTTCCAGGAAGCGGCGGGCGGCAGTGTCACGGAGGGCTGGCTGCTCCGCCACGTGGCACAGCACTGCCTGCAGGTGGCGTGCGTCCCTCTCTTGGGCAAGCTCCTGAGGGGAAGGGGGGAGATAAGGCAAGGGAGAAGGGGATTCTTGAGTTGGCTAAGAAAGCATCCCTGGCACAGCACTGCCTGCAGGTGACGTGTCCCTCTCGGGGCGAGCTCCTGAGGGAGGAGCATTGCTCTGACCTGCCCGAGACGGACGGGGTGTGAGTGACGGGGTGTGAGTGAGTGACGGGGTGTGAGTGAGTGACGGGGTGTGAGTGAAGGGGTGTGAGTGATTGGGTGTGAGTGACGGGGTGTGAGTGACTGGGTGTGAGTGACGGGATGTGAGTGACGGGGTGTGAGTGAGTGGCGGGGTGTGAGTGACGGGGTGTGAGTGACGAGGTGTGAGTGAGTGACGGGGTGTGAGTGACGAGGTGTGAGTGACGGGGTGTGAGTGACGGGGTGTGAGTGATGGGGTGTGAGTGACGGGGTGTGAGTGACGGGGTGTGAGTGACGGGGTGTGAGTGACGGGGTGTGAGTGAGTGACGAGGTGTGAGTGACGGGGTGTGAGTGACGGGGTGTGACTGAGTGACGGGGTGTGAGTGACGGGGTGTGACTGAGTGACGGGGTGTGAGTGACGGGGTGTGAGTGACTGGGTGGGAGGGACGGGGTGTGGGTGACGGGGTAGGAGTGACGGGGTGGGAGTGACCGGGTGGGTGGCACTGACCTGCATGGTGTGGAAGCCGTTGGCTGCTTCCTCCAGCAGCGGCAGCACTGCAGGCACACTGCCTGGCACCGCTGCATGCAGTGGTGGTGGCAAGGGTGGTGGGTGCAGGGGTGGTGGGTGACAGAGGTTGTATGGTTAGCACATGGGGAACAGGACAATGAAGCTGTACATGGGTGCATGACAACATGGATGCATGACGACATGGATGCATGACGACATGGATGCATGACGACATGGGTGCATGGCGACATGGGTGCATGGCGACATGGGTGCATGACGACATGGGTGCATGACGGCATGGGTGCATGACGACATGGGTGCATGACGACATGGATGCATGACGACATAGGTGCATGGCGACATGGGTGCATGGCGACATGGGTGCATGACGACATGGGTGCATGACGACATGGGTGCATGACGACATGGGTGCATGACGACATGGGTGCATGGCGACATGGGTGCATGGCGACATGGGTGCATAGTGACTTATTCGTGAGGAGAAGAATGAATGACAACAAGCAGTGAACGCACCAGCTGGGGGAACCATGGCGAGGTGGCAGTGGGCAATGAGCATGAGGGTGCGACAGCGCATGGTGAGGCCTGACTGCCCCAGCAGCACCGGCAGACAGACCCCATCCAGCAGCCACAGTGCTTGCAATGCGCACTCCCGCCCGCTGCTGCTCTCGCCATCCCCAGCAGCAGCGCCATCCCCCGCAGCAGCAGAGCCGCAGGCAGCAGGCGCCAGGGCGAGGGTGGCCTCAGCGGCAGTGAGGGTGGCGGTAGCTTGCAGCAGCAGTGCGTGCAGGCGGGCTGCCAGGGACGCGCACGCCAGGGCGTGTGGCAGGGCGGCCGCTGGTGACCCGGCTTTCTGGTAGGCATGGGCAACGAGAATGATGAGGAGAAAGAGGGGGGAAAGGGGTGAGTGGGGATGCGGGAGGGAGGCTTGAGAGAGGGCGCAGAGCAAGGGTGGAACGTGGAGGAGTTGGAGTCCAGGCCTAACTGCAGCGGGTTCACCAGTGAATCCTCTACATGATTACCATCCCTCTCCACCGTCCACCCCAGCATCGTCAGCAGCGTCAGGTGCCTGATCAGCAGCCAGGCGCCTCACGATCTCAGGTGTCTGATCAGGTGCCTCAGGTGCCACACCAGGTGCCTCAGGTGCCTCAACAGCAAGAATGTGGCTCACCAGGTGCTTCAGGTGGCTCACCAGGTGCTTCAGGTGGCTCACCAGGTGCTTCAGGTGTCTCACCAGGTGCAGCTCCGCCATGAGCAGCAGGCAGCGCGCGTGGTACAGCTGGCGATTGTGGCGACAGCACGCTGTGAACAGTGCCTTGGCTGCTGATGCCGCCTGGAGAGAGGGGGTGTGTGGAGAGAGGGGTTGTGTGGAGAGAGGGGTTGTGTGGAGAGCAGAGGGAAAGAAGGTGAAAAGGTGAGAGAGAATGAGAGGAGAGGTTATGATAGGAGGCTGGGATAGGAGAAAGGTTAGGATGGTAAGAGAGGAAGGAAAAGAGACTGAAAAGGAGGAGGGGGGAGCATTGGAGGGGAAGAGACTGAAGTGGAGAAAGGGGGAGCAAGCGAGGGCATTTGTGGGAGGTGTGGAGGCGATAATTGGAGGAGGGGAAGAAGCAGCTGTCGGGGGTCAGGAGTGGCGGGAGAGAGGCGGAGAGAAGGCGAGTGAGGGAGCAGTGCAGACAGAATTAGATGAAGAGAGACGGGGTTAGGCGAAGAGACATAAGTGGCGCGTGGCAACGAGTGAGAGAGAGATGGGGCACCTGGGGAAAGCGCGAGGCAGCAATGAGGGTGTGCACGTGTTGGCATGCTGCCTCCAACTCCAAATCCACCTCCGTGCCCCCCTGCCCCCCGCCCTGCTCATCCCCATGTGAGAGGCCGTGGCGTGTGGCAATGGCTGCTCGCTGCTGGCACATGTGCAGTGCTTGGGATGTACGGCCACTGGCGGGGGGAGGGACGGGCAGAGAGAGGGAGGGGCCGAGAGGGAGGGGGGGGAGAGGGAGGGGGCGGGCGGGAAAGAGGGATAGGATGAGCAATGGGGCTGGGGGAGGTTGACGAGTGGAGGGTGGCATACAGGGCAATGGTGAGGGGAGCGAGAAGAGTGAAACAGGGAGGACGGCTGCTGGGATGCAGGGTCGTGCTGTGTGGGAGGGGTTGTGCAGTGTGGGGGGGGTCGTGCTGTGTGGGGGGGGTCGTGCTGTGTGGGGGGGGGTCGTGCTGTGTGGGAGGGGTCGTGCTGTGTGGGGGGGGGTCGTGCAGTGTGGGGGGGGTCGTGCTGTGTGGGGGGGGGTCGTGCTGTGTGGGGGGGGTCGTGCTGTGTGGGAGGGGTCGTGCTGTGTGGGGGGGGTCGTGCAGTGTGGGGGGGGGTCGTGCTGTGTGGGGGGGGTCGTGCTGTGTGGGAGGGGTCGTGCTGTGTGGGGGGGGTCGTGCTGTGTGGGGGGGGTCGTGCTGTGTGGGGGGGGTCGTGCTGTGTGGGGGGGGGTCGTGCTGTGTGGGGGGGGTCGTGCTGTGTGGGGGGGGTCGTGCTGTGTGTGGGGGGTCGTGCTGTGTGGGGGGGGGTCGTGCTGTGTGGGGGGGGTCGTGCTGTGTGGGGGGGGTCGTGCAGTGTGGGGGGGGTCGTGCTGTGTGGGGGGGGGTCGTGCAGTGTGGGGGGGGGTCGTGCTGTGTGGGGGGGGGTCGTGCTGTGTGGGGGGGGTCGTGCAGTGAGCGGCAGCAGGGGAGAGGGAAGTGGTGACATGACGCCTGAGGATCTGCCACACAGTGCGCCTCTCACTAGCGCCTGTGTTCTCGCCTGGTGGCTGGCTTACGTGGCAAGGCAGAGGTCGTGAGTCAGCTCCAGCTCAGCAATGCGGAGGGTGGGCGAGGAGGAGAGCAGCGGATGCTGCTGCAGGCGCCGCAGGAGAGGCAGGGCCGCTGGTGGGAAGAAAGGTGGGTGGGGAGGGGGAGGAGGAGGGGTCCAGAGGACAAGGGGATAGAAATCAAGGGTGAGGGTGACTGGGGTGGGGTGCGCTTCTGACACTTGTAACAGGCCAATCACCTCTGCAAACACACACCAACACCCTTAGCCTTCGCACACCTGGGGCCCACCTGACGACCACCTGAGCCCACGTGAGGCCCACCTGAGGACCACCTGAGCTCACCTGAGCCCACCTGAGCCCACCTGAGCCCACCTGAGCCCACCTGAGCCCACCTGAGGACCACTTGAGCTCACCTGAGCCCACTTGAGCCCACCTGAGCCCACTTGAGCCCACCTGAGCCCACCTGAGCCCACCTGCGGCACCAGAGTGTGCAGCTCTGTGTCGCAGCAGGTTGACTGCCGATGCTGCTAGGTCGTCCGCACTGCAGCGAACAACACACAGAGCAGTGGTGCAGCGAACAACACACAGAGCAGTGGTGCAGCGAACAACACACAGAGCAGTGGTGCAGCGAACAACACACAGAGCAGTGGTGCAGCGAACAACACACAGAGCAGTGGTGCAGCGAACAACACACAGAGCAGTGGTGCAGCGAACAACACACAGAGCAGTGGTGCAGCGAACAACACACAGAGCAGTGGTGCAGTGAACAACACACAGAGCAGAGGTGCAGTGAACAACACACAGAGCAGTGGTGCAGCGAACAACACACAGAGCAGTGGTGCAGTGAACAACACACAGAGCAGTGGTGCAGTGAACAACACACAGAGCAGTGGTGCAGTGAACGTTGAGACGCGTCAAAAGAGGAGAGGTGAGTGGGATGCGGCACATCGCACCCAATCACTGGGGGGGGAAGAGTTGAGTCCATTTGACGAGATACCGGCACATGGATGCAGCAAGAAAGGCGGGAAGATTCATGCTTACGTGGCAGCATCGGAGTAGCAGAGCAGATGAAGTGCCGAGCTGGCAGTGGCCATGGTGGGGCTGACGTGGAGGCATGGGACGGGAGAGGGATGGGAGGAGAGAGGAACAGATGTAGTAGGTGGCACAGAGCCGTGATATTGAGGAATAGCGAAAGCTATGCATGGCCTTGCATGTGGATAACCACACAATCCCCATTCACCCCTCATGCACCACTAACCCTCCCCCCCACCCTTCCTCCACCACCACTCACCCACCACCACTCACCAGCCATACACCTCCCATGCAGCGGCCCTCACGCCCTGCCCCGCCCCGACCAGCCGCACCACAGCAGCCGGGGGCGGGGCCAGCCTCCCCGCTGCTGCCGCCGCCGCCGCCGCTGCTGACGCCGCCGAACCTGCAGGCTGTGGTCCGGCGAAGGTCTGGCCGGAGCTGAAGAGAGCCGCGGCGGTGGAGGCGGAGGAGAGAGGCGCTGAGAGGGCTAGGCTGGAGGAGAGGTTGAGAGCGGCTGCTGCTGCTGCTGCTGCCACTGCGGAGGAGGAAGAAGCGGAGGCTAGGTGAAGGGAGGGGAGAGAGAGAGGCGCGGAAGGGGGGAAGGCGAGGGGGGAGAGCGCAGAGGGTAGGAGGATGGCAGAGGTGCAGGCATCGTTGAATAGATGGGCGCCCAGACGCAGGTGCTGGGGGCAGTGGGGAGAGGGGAGACGGGGGAGCAGCAGTGAAGGTGGGGTGTAATGGGAGACTAGTTTTGACGTGCCTCACGGCGAGGGGGGAGAGCGCGGACAGAAGGAGAAAGGGGGGGAATGAAAAAGGGAGGGGAGGGGGGGGAATGGGAAAGGGCGGGGAGGGGGAGCTTGAGTGAGGGGGAAAGGGGAGGGAGAGGGGAAGCAGCAGTGGGAGGTTGGCCAGTGGGAGAGAAACGAGAATCGGGATGGGGTGGGAGTAGGGGGAAGCGGGGGAAAGTGGATGTGAGTGAGAGAGTGGTTCTTGCCTCCCTGCTGCAGTGCACAGCTGCCTCAACGCATGGGACTCAAGATCAGCACTGGGCGGTGAATCGCTTGCTGCACTGCATCGTCACATCACATCACACCAAACCACACCACACCACACCACACCACACCACACCACACCACACCGCATTGTATCACATTACATCGGATCACTGACCTACAACTATTACCCTTCCCTAACACTCTCACGCATCCCCATGAGCAACCCTTAGTCTTGTGGCTGTTGGAGAGATGGACTACAATCCCACATTGACACTTGTACTTACATCCTAGCTTAGCGTAAAACTAGTCTGGTGGGTTGGTAGTTGGACGCAAAACTCTCAACCAAAAGTGATCACGCAAAGACTCCCCCATCCCTCCAATCAGAGGTTTCAACAGCCACACTGGAGATACCCCCCATTCCCTTCCATCCCATTCCTTATGTGCGCAAGAGCACTGGCAAAGGCCATCTCATGCGCATCACTAAAGGCCACAAGAGCCTTGACCTCCACAGCCTGATGGCTCCAGCTAAGGTGCATCGTTGGCTGCCATTGAAGGGACAGATTATTGCAGGACGCTGAGACAAGCATGTATCAGTAGCACGGCCGGGGCAATCGGCAGCACCACGCAGGAAAGTTGCAAGAAGAGCAGCAGAGAGAAGCAAGGGCAGACGAGGAGAGAAGAGGAGGGAGTGGCTTACTTGGCAGACAAGGAGAGGGGACGGGTTGACGTCGGAGGGAGGAAGAGAGAGGGAGGTGGTGGCGTGGAGTGCTCTTCCGTCCGTTACGTGCTGCTCAGAGGAGTGGAAGGCGGTGCGGATGGGCGAGGGGACGGAGTGGAGAGGAAGGAAGGGGGGAAATAAGAGGAAGTAGGAGGAGCAGGGAAAGGGCATGCGAACAAAGAGATGAAATCACATCAACGTAAGTGTTACACGACTCGAGAAAAATGGTTACAGCATCAGCATAAAGACGGCGCAGAAGTCTTGCTGCTTCAATGCTGCAGCAATCACGTGTGATTCCGGATGCTGGCAAGGCGAGCCTTAACCCTCCCCTCAGCCCTGAGCCCTCCCGCAGCCCTCCCGCAGCCCTCCAGCAGCCCTCCAGCAGCCCTCCTCATTACCTCGACACTTTAGCGAGTGAGCAGCAGCTGGATGGCGAACACGAGAGATCAGTCATGCACATGTGAGACAACCCTCAACCCTCCCCTCACCCTCAGCCCTGAGCTTTGAGCCCTCCAGCACCCCTCCAGCAGCTCTCTTCATTACCTCCACGCTGTAGCGAGTGAGCAGCAGCTGGATGGCAAAGACATGAAGCTCAGTCAAGGGCATGTGAAATCCAAGGCATGCGAGGAACGAAACACAACCACATCAGTGCTGAGTACCCGTCACATTAGAATTCCCAAAAGCCCTCCAGCAGCCCTCCAGCAGCTCTCTTCATTACCTCGACGCTGTAGCGAGTGAGCAGCAGCTGGATGGCAAAGACGAGGTGCAGCAGTCTCAGCTGGGCGGCACGCATCAAGCAGCGCTGCAGCAGCGCTGAACCCCCAGCCCCCAACCCTCAACCCTTTCCTCCCAGCAGCCCTCATTACCTCGACACTGTAGCGCGTGAGCAGCAGCTGGATGGAAAAGACGAGGCGCGGCAGTCTCAGCTGGGCGGCACGCACCAGGCAGCGCTGCAGCAGCGCACACACCTGCTGCTGCACGCCGCCCGCCACTGCCGCCCCCCCTCCCCCCTCCCCATCCACGCCCCCATGCGCCCCCTCCCCTCGCCCCACCATCCCCTCGCCTCTCACCCGCCCCTTCTTCCCTCCGCTAACCCCGCCACCCCGCCACACTCCCCCCTCCAGCAGTGTTGGCTGCTGCAGCGAGCTGGGGGCTCCCAGCACTGCCAGCTGGCGGGGTGCGTCTGACGTGGCAGTCTGTGATAGGAGGTGGCAGATGGCTGTGAGGGCGTGCACCAAGCACACGTCATCACTCTCCTGTGTGAACACGCAGGGAACAAGATGATGCTTCAAGTCCGCGCAGCAGGTTCGACGCGGTGCAGGCAGTGCGAGTTGACTTTCGGGTCAACTCAGTTAACAGGCAGGGAATAAGATGATGCTTGAAGTCTGTGCATTGACTGCAGGTTCGACGCAGTGCGGGCACCGTGACTCGATCCGCCAGCAGGAGTGGAAACAAGGCGGGGCTCCGTAGTACTCACATCACATCACATCACATCACATCACATCACATCACATCACATCACATCACATCACATCACATCACATCACAACACGTCATATCACATCACAACACGTCACATCACATCTACTATCATACCATCCAATATGACTGCTCTTTGTTGCAACGTAGGAGTCAAGGCACACACATAAGATGCTGTCATGCCATACCAATGCACACCGTACTGCACCACTTCTGAGGCTGACAAAGAAAACTGCAACTTCTTTAGTCAACCTAGAAAACGCTACCACGATTGCTCACTCCACAGCGTACCAACCCATGCCTCACCTGCTGTGCCATGTGCACTGTCTCTCACCTGCTGTGCCATGTGCACTGTCTCTCACCTGCTGTGCCATGTGCACTGTCTCTCACCTGCTGTGCCATGTGCACTGTCTCGATCAGGGCCTGGCATGATGGGGTGCAGTGCAGGGGCCATGTGAACGGGCGGAGGGGATGAAATGAAGCAGGGCAGGATAAGAGTGACGACAAAGAATGAAGCAGGACGATGACGGCTGAGGCACGGCACAAGGTGAGGAGAGCAAAGACTGCAAAAGCTAGCCAAGCCAATGAATGAGCGCGAGCCATGCCTGGCTGGCGGGCCCATGTGGGGCTGCCCGTGGCCTGTCAGCTTGATCCACGTGGACATGGCATGGCATGAAGCGCGTGTCACTGACTGCCCAGGACAAGGCCCTTCACGGGTCAGGCCCAGCCTTTCAATAAGCGCTTCTACATGAGGACATATGCTCATGCAACCTGCTGCACGCGCCACACACCGACACACACACATACCCCCATGCCATGCTGCACGTGCCCGTATCGTGCATGCATGCTCCCCTCCACCAGCAGCCCTGTCCACCAGTTTGATGCTGCATGGACCACACACACGTACCCCCCTGGCATGCTGCACATACCCCCCTGGCGTGCTGCACATACCCCATGGCGTGCTGCACATACCCCCATGCCATGCTGCACATACCCCCATGGCGTGCTGCACATGGCCGTATCGCGCATGCATGCCGCCCTCCACCAGCAGCCCTGCCTGGAACCGCCCCGCCCACCAGTCCGATGCTGCCCGCCCGCCCACCGCTGCCATGCCCGCACTGCGTGGTGGGGGGAGGAGAGGAGGGAAGAGGCAGGATTGATCGTGAGAGGGTGAGGGGGGTGGAGAAGGGGGCGGGAGGGGAGTCGGGGGAGAGGGTTTGGAAAGGGCATGCATACTGACTGAGATCACTCATGTTGGCGGTGATTTCACTGCAGCCGTGCCCCACACTTTTCCATACTCACACAGCCCTGCCCCTGCCTGCCTGCTCAACGCGGATGGGAACGGCCCGAGGAGTGTGGGTCACGTAGCAGTCGGGGCGGACCTCACTTCCAGCTCTGACTTTGGTTCTTGTTCTGCCTCACCTCCTCAAAGATGATTTCTTTCAACTTGCTATGATTTCATTAGTATGATGTATAGTTGTTTGGGTGAATAGTTGTGTATGGAGGTTGAGGAGGAGGTGTGAGAGAGTAGGCCATCTGGTGCGCGGTTGGTATCAATACAACCACTCCCCCAGGCACTTATGACACATCTGATCCCATGATACTATCTATATGTGCTTGTGTATGTTATGCAGCGTGGAATGGAATCTCATTACTTGACATGTATGTATCACAACCGTTCGTACGCTTTGCCAATCGGAAAAGGTAGCAATAAGCACTACGGAGACGGAAAAAAAAACGGGAGAAAAAGGTGAGTGTAGAAAGATTGGAGTGAACCGTCACATGTGTGACGCCACACACCGTCCAACTCCAAGGCCCGTGACAAACATGCTCGCTCCTGCCCAGTCTTTATCCAACACAGAACCCGGCCGACCTAAATCTCAAGATGTCTGTGGTACTGCTCCAACACAAACCAGCTCACACCCAAATTGCAGGGATTAAGGTCCGGCACCACTTTGGCGCATATCTGTGGTGCCGGACGAGCTCGCCCTCCAAAATCTGTGCTGACTTTTGAGTCGACTCAAACGTCACCTCGGAAAAAAAAGAACACCCAAGCACATCCCATGCACTCCATTCATGTGCCTGCACTGCATGCATCGTGGTTTTTATGCTACCCTGTGTAATGCGAGCACCTGTAGTCAAAGTAGCGGTGCAGTGAGGAGAGGGAGTCGGAGAGATGGCGCGAGGAGAGCGACTCGTGATGCTGCCATAGATGCACCTGATGCCATGCACACATGGGATGCCACGGGATTACATGCAATGCCATGCCACGCGTTGCCATTCAATGCCATGCCACGCGTTGCCAGCCATGCAATGCCATGCCACACGTTGCCATGCAATGCCATGCCACACGTTGCCATGCAATGTCATGCCACGCGTTGCCATGCAATGCCATGCCACGCGTTGCCATGCAATGCCATGCCACACGTTGCCATGCAATGCCATGCCACACGTTGCCATGCAATGCCATGCCACGCGTTGCCATGCAATGCCATGCCACATGTTGCCATGCAATGCCATGCCACACGTTGCCATGCAATGCCATGCCACACGTTGCCATGCAATGCCATGCCATGCAATGCCATGCCACGCGTTGCCATGCAATGCCATGCCACACGTTGCCATGCAATGCCGTGCCACGCGTTGCCATGCAATGCCATGCCACGCGTTGCCATGCAATGCCATGCCATGCAATGCCATGCCACGCGTTGCCATGCAGGAAGTGGTGCATTCGGGGACAGATGGGATCGAGATTAGAGTTAGAGAGCAGCAGATAAGAGAGTTTTGGTCCAGAGCTGCTACGTAAAACATAACACTATTCATCAAGTCATGCATTCGATTCAACCAGCCACCATGCACCTTTGGCGGCAGGTCATGTGCATGAGCCAGTGCGCTCTGGTCGTCCACATGTGCATCATCCATTGTGCACAATGGACGAAAGGGGAGGCTGCTGTCCTTGCTGTCCTCTCCTTGCTGTCCTTGCTCAGTCCTTGGGCCCGCTGCTGCTGCCCCTCGTCTGTTGCGCACACGGGATGGTGACACGGGCAGACGGAGGAGAGAGGGGCAAACCCCGCGCAATGCAACCCGAGCTGGACAGGTTTGATCTTAGGGCTGAAGGAGGCAGGTTGGATGATTTTTGCAAGCTCTAACTTCCATCCGAGCCCATCCCTCCCCCATCCCAACGAACTTAGGTAAGAAACAAACGCAAAAACGAAGTTCAACAAAACATAGAAATCAGAACAGATGATGGGGGTCCAAACCCAAGAACACAGTGCTCACTCTATCCCCACTACCGCGCAGCCTCTTCCCTCACCTGCTAGCCTCCTCTTCCCTCACCTGCTAGCCTCCTCTTCCCTCACCTGCTAGCCTCCTCTTCCCTCACCTGCTAGCCTCCTCTTCCCTCACCTGCTAGCCTCCTCTATCCGCCCATCAAGGTACTCCGCCAGCCGCCCTGCCTCCCGCAGAAACTGCTTCTGCATGCCGCCACCTCCCCTCTGCTTCCGCCCCCCTCTTTCCCGTCCACTCTCCCGCCCCTCCTTCCCCATCATCCCTCCACTGCTCCTTCTCCCAGCTCCTCCCCCCCACAAGCCCCCATCATCCCCCCCAGAAGGCATCAGAGCATCATCCCCCTGCCCTCCCCCTCTCCCCCCTCGCCCCAGCACCTCCCGCTCAAACTCCTCCTCCCATGCTGTCCTGTCCTCTTCCACCCTCGCCCCCGCCCCTGCCCCAGCCCCTCCACCGTCCCACATCCCCCTTTCTGCTGCTTCCAGGCTGCCCTCATGCGAACCTTCATGGGTCGTTCTTCTACGGTGTGTGACAGTATCGAAGGACAGAGGCTGTGGGGCAACACATGGCTCCCCTCCCTCCACGCCCACACCTGCACCCCCATCCACTCCCACGCCCACCCCCACGTCTACGTCCATTTCCTCCCCTGCATCCCCCCTCTCCTCCCCTAACACCCACTCCCCTTGTGCGGCCTCCCCTGTGCTCTCCCGCCTGCCCGTCTGCTCATCCATGCTGCCTGCGCTGCCTGCGCTGCGAGAGCTGCCAGAGAAGCCCGCGTGGTGGAGGTATTCGTGGATGTCGCCCAGCACAATGCACACTGCCTGCCATGCGCCATGCATGCCATGTGTCACGAACGGGAAGGATGGTGCTTAGGTCATGTGCATCTGTGGAATGAAGTGCATGTGCGCATGCGTGCATGTGAGCATGCGCGCATGTGGGCACGTGTGCATGCGCGCATGTGCGCATGTGTGCATGTGCGGATGCGGGCGTGTGTGCATGTGCACATGCACGCATGTGTGCATTTGTACATGTGCACATGTGTGCATGCGAGAATGTATGCACGTGTGCATGTGCACATGTGTTCATGGGTGTGCATATATGCGCATGTGTGTGCATGTGCACATGTGAGCACCTGGAAGGGCAGGTGGTGGAAGGAGAGCAACAGCGAGCGCAGGAAGAGGCCGAGCACACGAGTGCATGTATGCACGTGCACATGTGCATGTGTGCATGGGTGCATGGGTGCATGTGTGCATGTGTGCATGGGTGCATGGGTGCATGTGCACATGTGAGCACCTGGAAGGGCAGGTGGTGGAAGGAGAGCAACAGCGAGCGCAGGAAGAGGCCGAGCACACGAGTGCATGTATGCACGTGCACATGTGCATGTGTGCATGGGTGCATGGGTGCATGTGTGCATGTGTGCATGGGTGCATGGGTGCATGTGTGCATGGGAGCACCTGGAAGGGCAGGTGGTGGAAGGAGAGCAGCAGCGAGCGCAGGAAGAGGCCGAGAGCACTGCCACGGGTGATAGGCTGGCAGGCGGGCGACGCTGCTGCTGCTGCCCGGTGGCGCGGAGGGGAGGTGCTGCGCGCCACACACACTGCAACACGGTCGTGAGGGGGAGAGGAGGGGCGGGGGACAGGGCAAGCATGGGTTTCAAGGCGCCTCAAAATGCTGCCCGGTGGCGCGGAGGGGACGTGCTGCGCGCCACACACGCTGCAACACGGCCGTTAAAGGGGGGAGTTTGCGCGGGAACGGCAGGCAGGCATGAGAGGAAATGAGTGGTGGAGTGCGATGCAAGGAACGGGGAGAAGATTAAGAGGACAGGGAAGGAGGGGAAGAGGTGACAAGGAAACACTCCTCGTGTCTGCCTGCTTGCTTGCTTGCAGAGTAGTGGAGGGATAATTGCAGTATTCATAAACATTGCGTGCAACCAATGTCCATGTGGAGGACTAGAGCACATAGAACAGACCTCATGCATATGTTCATGAGTGCACATGTCCATGAGTGCACATGTCCATGAGTGCACATGTCCATGAGTGCACATGTCCATGCGTGCACATGTCCATGAGTGCACATGTCCATGCGTGCAGCTATCCATGCATGTAAAGTGGACATTCAAACACACCACTCACACTGCACCACTCACAGAGCACCACTCACAGTGCCCCACTCACAGTGCCCCACTCACAGTGCACCACTCACAGTGCCCCACTCACAGTGCACCACTCACAGTGCCCCACTCACAGTGCACCACTCACAGTGCCCCACTCACACTGCACCACTTACAGTGCAGGGAGGCGAAGAGGGAGAAGAGGTCGTCTGGGGACTGCAGTGCCTGCACTTCTGAGTCGACTCAAAAATCAAAAGTCGTCTCTTGATTTGAATCAAAAGGCCTCCATTGAACTCACAGTGCAGGGAGGCGAAGAGGGAGAAGAGGTCGTCTGGGGACTGCAGTGCCTGCACTTCTGAGTCGACTCAAAAATCAAAAGTCGTCTCTTGATTTGAATCAAAAGGCCTCCATTGAGCTCACAGTGCAGGGAGGCGAAGAGGGAGAAGAGGTCATCTGGTGACTGCAGTGCCTGCAGCTGCTGCACTAGCACCTCCCCCGCATCACCCCACCCCTCCTCCCCTTCCTCTGCTCCCTCCGCCTCTGCATTCCTGCCCCGCTCTCCCCTTTCTCCGTGGCCCCCCCTGCCTGCCTCCGCCTCTCCCCCATCCCTTCCCTCCTTCACCTCCGCTGCCAGTCGCAGCAGCAGCGCGCTCAGAGATGGCTCGTGCCAGGAGTTCACTGCCTGTGTGGGGGATGGTGTTGTTGGGGGGTGATGAGGGGTGTTGGGGGGTGATGGGGGCGTTGCTGGTGTGAGTGAGGGGTGATGAGGGATGGAGTGGATTTCAGAGAGTTAAGATACGAGGAGACGAATGGAGCCGGCAGGGAGAACTGGGCGAGGAGGGGCGAGGAGCAACAGTGCCACTGGCGGCAATGATGCAGGCGAGGGGGGTGGGTGCGGCGGGGGAAGCTGGAAAGGGGTGGTGTAGAGGCAATGAGATAAAGGACAAAGGTAAGGACAGGATGGGCAGGGGAAGGGGGGCGTTGTGCAGGACAGGAGGAGCAGACAGCAACAGATTGGAGGGGCGGAATATGAGGATAGGCTGAGTCCGTTACCACACCTCCACTCCCCCAACCTGCCACTGCCACCGGTCAGCTTGCTGCCTCCTGCCTGACATTTGGAGCGGATGATGACAGTGTGCATGCATGACATGGATGCATGCATGCATGCATGCTGTGCTTCTCTGGCTGACTTGTGTCCTCTCGCCCCTCAGCATCTGCCGCCACACTGCACCGTTCCCAGCACCGTTGAACCCCTGCCCTCCTTTTGCTCCGCCCCACCCTCTGTCTTCACTCTCTCCCCTCCACCGCGCTGCCTCTGCGCTGCCACAGCACCGAGCATTCCCCAGCAGCAGCTACCGCCGCCCACAGAACAGCAACTTGCTTGCCCGCAAAAAGCGTCTCTTCCCCCCAGCAGCGAGCATTTCTTCCCCAGCGGCGCAACCCAACCGCGCACCTTTCCCCCCAAGCAACGCACCTCCCCCCACCTCCATCAGCGCACCTCTTCCCCCCCGAGCGCCTCACCCTGGTCTCGCGCAGCAGGAAGAGCGCCAGCCGCTGCCGCACGCGGCGGGGCGGCGGGGAGGGCGGGGCGGCACGCGCGCGGAGTTCGTCAGCCAGCCCGGGCTCGGCGGAGTGCGGCGGGCCCGCGAGGAGGCGCAGAAGCAGCGCGAGCGCCACTCGGTGCGGCGTCACGCTCGCCGCGGACGTCGCGACGGCGGGGGTCGCGTCGCGAGGCGGTGCGGCGGAAGGCATGGCGACGCGTGAACCCGACGAGCACGTCGCCGCGCGCCGCGTGGGCGACTCGCCGCGAAGGAATGTCGCGGTGATGCGCGCAGAGCTGGCTGCGACGAAGGCGCTATCGTGTCGCGAGGGATGCGAAATATGATCGACGCACGAAGTTCGAGCGAGTGGTTCAACTACAGATTTGACCTGCTTTGCTAGCTCCTAACGAAATTCGCACGACAATTGCCGCGATCTCGCCAAAGGTTCCGCTATAACCATCGCCCCATTCATCCAATTCGCAAATTGACCTGCAAAACGACCCCACGACAGACTGGACCTCGTTTTGCACTACGCCCTAAGAACTCCAGCTTCTGTGCCTCGCGAAGGCTCACCCATCTGGATGGCAGGCTTGGTTGGGGGAAGAATGATTGGGGATAGGCAGCCCGCACAAACCTCAAAAGGCATGGCGAAAAAAGGTAACATTTCGCTTGTTCAAATGAGAGTGTCGTTCGAACAGCGAGGTGACACGCCCTAAGTGTCATCCTCGGGAAGTAGGAAGAGCGGCTCTCATCATGGAACGAATGCTGAGAAATCCAGGGGAAAACTGCTCGATCGATCTATCAACATAGAGCCTTATGAGCGTCTGGATCGCGAGCAGCAAGCATGCGGAACTAAACTGCGAGCTGCGATGTGAATCCCGTATAGCACCTGCTGAAAGCACAGGGTAGCCAAGTGAGCATCTTCCTAGCTGCGGTGCACACATTCTCCCGCAGCGACCTCAGCGTTCTCTTGCGATAGGTGATTGGGCGAATCCTCAACGGCAGCAACTGTCGTATCTGTATGAGGCCGTTTTCCTGCCTCTACTCTCTTTTCCTGCCTCTACTCTCTTTTCCTGCCTCTACTCTCGTTTCCTGCCGCTACTCTCTTTTCCTGCCTCTACTCTCTTTTCCTGCCTCTACTCTCTTTTCCTGCCTCTACTCTCTTTTCCTGCCGCTACTCTCCTTTCCTGCCTCTACTCTCTTTTCCTGCCTCTACTCTCTTTTCCTGCCTCTACTCTCTTTTCCTGCCTCTACTCTCGTTTCCTGCCGCTACTCTCTTTTCCTGCCGCTACTCTCTTTTCCTGCCTCACTAACCCATCGCTGGGCGTCGAGCCATGGCCTTCTCTTCCTGCGGCACCTGCCTCTATCTCGCTAACTGCTTCACTCTCTGCCCCCGTCCTTCTTCATGTCACCCTTTCAGGTGTTCCCCGAGCGCCAAGCCATGGCCTTCTCTTCCTGCGGCACCTGCCTCTATCTCGCTAACTGCTTCACTCTCTGCCCCCGTCCTTCTTCATGTCACCCTTTCAGGTGTTCCCCGAGCGCCAAGCCATGGCCTTCTCGCCCTGCGGCACCTGCCTCTATCTCGCTAACTGCTTCACTCTCTGCCCCCTTCCTTCTTCATATCACCCTTTCAGGTGTTCCCCGAGCGCCAAGCCATGGCCTTCTCGCCCTGCGGCACCTGCCTCTATCTCGCTAACTGCTTCACTCTCTGCCCCCGTCCTTCTTCATGTCACCCTTTCAGGTGTTCCCCGAGCGCCAAGCCATGGCCTTCTCGCCCTGCGGCACCTGCTCTCGTACTCCCCATCCTTCTTATACCACACACTCCTCTTGAAGCCCCCACTCCTCTCTTTCCCTCCACTCCGCATACACCCCCCACTCCCTTCAAACCTGTTGCCCCGGGTAGAGTTCCACAGGTTCCAAGCCATTACCTGAAACACCTTGGCCGTTCCTCTCATAACCCCCACTCTCATACTCCCCACTCCCCTCCCTCATACCTAACCCCCACTCCTCGCATACCCCCAATCCTCTCATCCCCCCCCTTTTTTTTCTTTAATAATTGAGTTCTGGAAGGTGCACTCTGAGAGATGCACAATAGGATAGGCACGCATTCTTTTCGAGAGAGGGCGTCAGAAAACTGAGAGGTTCTATAAAAAAGAAGCAAGTGATTTTTTTCCCCTTCTTTTTTGGAAATGCATTCTGAAATACTTACTCCAAGAATTTATATGGAATGCATAGTTACCGTAGTTGCATTTGTCTACTTTCTTTTAAATATGCCGTAATTTGTTGAATAAAGGACCGGTTGGTAAGATTATATGTCGATTTAGACTATACGTTTTATCCAACCACGAAAAAAAATTGGATGAACAAATTGAAGCTCTCTTGTGAGTGGTATAATAGAAAAGCCACCAACATATGCGATAAGACAAGATCCTCCAAACGAGTCGGTTGCATAATGGCAGTAACGCGGCCACGTATAGCGCCAAATGGTCCTTGTCATTTTCCTTCCACCATCCAGGGTTCGGGTTCGGGTTTCTACGGAGGTTTATGTGCCACCAGCAGGAGCAGGAGGATGCTGTGAGCATGATTGGCATCCCTCGTACTTTGTCAGGCGCAAGGCAAACACTCCTCCCCTCCCCCCTGTACCCCAACATTACGTCCAACCGAAAAGGGTGCCACTGGGTCTGTCGGTTCACTGATTATTCCAATCGTGTCAGATCCTTCCACCTTTTCCGTGCATTTGCATTTTTTAGCTTGCCGTTGAGAATCTCGGTTGGACGTTGATCGTACCGCACTGCGAGGGAGCCATGGGCAATCAGAAGGCGGTGCGGTTGAAGCACAAGGGCGTGGATTTCAAGGTACGATCGGCCGTTAGAGTTACCCGGTATGATCGTTACGGTCAATCCTTAGGTCGGTCATAAGGGCCGCCTGTTCGATTAATCCGTCCTTAGGGATCGCGTGTAGGGCCGTTAGCGCCTCGTCGTACCCTGCATTTCGTCGCGGAAGGCCTCGTCGTCCCTCGCGGGTGTGGCGCCTCGCGTCCTTCGCTCTGCGTGCGCCACATCCGCGTATCTCCGTCCAGCGGGTGTCGCGCTTACGCGCACTGCGCACTACCGTCTCGCCGCACCGTGCGCTCGCCACGTTACATGTCGCTTCGTCACATTGATTGTCGCCACACAGCGTCTCTCCACCTGCCTGCACCGGCCTAGACCGCCTCGTCCGCTGCCGCTACAGTTGGCGATCCGTTTATAGCCTCGTCTCACCCCGCCTTGATCCGACCGCCCGTGCATTCGCTCTGCGCTGCCCGCGCATTGCCTTTTGGTTGCTCCGCGGCTGCATCAACACGCGCACGGCCGTGTGCTGCCCCTTGCTTCTCGTACTCCCACCTTCTTACTCCCTCTTTCCCGGCCCCTCTTCCTCTCCCCCTCCGCCCCTCTTCCTCGATCCCTCCGCGCGCGACTCCTTGCGCGCGCGCATGGCAGAAAGTGCGCAGCAAGGTGGGGCGCAAGCTACCGCCGCCGTCCAACGAGACCAAGACCACCGTCAAGGCCAAGAGTGAGTGAGCCGAGAGTCAACACAGTGACGCCCCCTCTCCCTCGCTCCCACTCCCCCCCTCCCTCCGTGACTGCTCGTTCTCCCCTTCTCATTCCTCTCGGCGCGCCCTTCCCGCTGCCCGCTTCTTGTTGATCCAGCAATCCACTTTCCCCTTCTCTCCCGTTCCAAATCGCCATTCGCACATCAAAATCCCGCCGATCGGCGTTTGAGGTGCCTCCCTCCATCCTCCACCCCCCCCAACCCCCCCCGTCCCGACCCCCACCCCCCTCCTTTCAGCCATCGTGCTACCGGGCCAGAAGCTGCTAGACGATCGGTCGCAGGCGGCGGTGACTCATGAGTCCACTCAACAGCCACCCCCCCACAACCCCCGCCCACCGTTACCCCTTCCCCCCCACTCCCCTTCCCCCCCACTCCCCTTCCCCCCCACTCCCCTTCCCCCCACTCCCCTTCCCCCCCACTCCCCTTCCCCCCCACTCCCATTCCCCCCCACTCCCCTCCCCTTCCCCCCCACTCCCCTTTCCCCCCACTCCCCTTCCCCACCTCCCCCGTCCCCGCCTTCCCCAGCGATCGTGCTGCCGGGGCAGAAGCTGCTGGACGACCGGTCGCAGGCGGCGGTGTCACAGAGGGGCCACACGCTGCCGGAGCTGCTCGCGCAGTCCGGCCACTACAGCGACAAGGTTCGGCAAGGTAGGCTCGGCAGGATGAGGCTTGTCAGGGTAGGCAGGGAGCATGGGAGGGCATGGCAGGGGTGTTCAGTTCACTTGCTTGTGCATGCATGCATGCTACCACGCCGCACCATCGATAATCTCCTGCCCTCCACTCACACCTCTCTTCTTCTCTCCTCTCCCCATCTCTCCTCTCCTCTCTTCTTCTCTCCTCTCCTCTCCTCTCCTCTCTTCTTCTCTCCTCTCCTCTCCTCTCCTCTCCTCTTCTCTCCTCTCCTCTCCTCTCCTCTTCTCTCCTTTCCTCTCCTCTCCTCTCCCTCGCTCTGCCGGCCAATCAGAGTCGCTCGTTCGCCTGCGCGAACTGCTGGCAGCCAATCCCGACGAGCTGAGGCGCCATGCTGGCACCATCCTCGCCAAGCTGGCGCCACGCATTGCTGACGTGGACAAGAAGACGAGAGACTCCCTCCTGCTGCTGATGCGTTCCGTGCTCTTCCCGACCATGCAGCCCGAGGTGCGGTTCGCTGCATGCAGCCTGGGTTGTGGTGCGGAGCGAAGGGGGGTTAATGTGACGGGGTTGGGATGGATGGGGGAGTGGGGCATAGGTATGTGGGGGATGGGACTTGAAAGGAGAGGGGGTAGGAAGGTACTAGGGATAGGGTGGGGTGAGTAGAGAGGAGAGGAGTAACAGGACGGGAGAGAAACGCAAAAGGAGAATCTAGGAGGAGGAAGGAGAGGAGGTGGAGAGGAAGGAGAGGAGGTGGAGAGGAAGGAGAGGAGGTGGAGAGGAAGGAGAGGAGGTGGAGAGGAAGGAGAGGAGGTGAGGAGGAGGAGGTGGAGAGGAAGGAGAGGAGGTGGAGAGGAAGGAGAGGAGGTGGAGAGGAAGGAGAGGAGGTGGAGAGGAAGGAAGATGGGTGGTGCTGCCAGCCATGAACCAAACGGCTGTTGGCACCGTGCCACAGAGAATTCGCGCTTCAGCTCATCCTCACCACCCAATGTGCACAATGCATGGTGCGCTGCACACCTCTTTCGTTCTTCTCCCTGCCCTCCCCCCTCCACTAACTCCCCCCTCCCAGGAGCGCATGGCGCCATTCTTCACGCTGCTGATGGGCCACGTGGGCTGTGCCATGACCCACGTGGCGCCGGACATCCGCCATGCCGCGCTGCCATTCCTCTCAGCGCTGCTCGCCCACTACCCCTCGCTCTTCCGCGCCTCCTCCACCGCCCAGGTACTCTCAGCCCTCCCCTCCCCACCCCTTCCCTCCTCTCCCTCCCCACCCTCCCCTCCTCTCCTTTGCATCCCCACCTCATGCATGCACGGTTGACTTGACTTCAAGCCTTGTAACCATTTGACACCGTTCTTCCCTCTTCACATACGCACCGGCCCATCGTTATTGCTTCCTCCTGACGAGTCTTCTCCTCGCACCACCATCCGTGTCATCCCCCTGGCCTCCCCTCACCTTCCCCCCCATCGTCAGGTGGTGGCACATTTCAGTGACATGCTCGCCCTCGCGTCGCCCTCTGCGCGCTCCTTCCCCTCCCTCGCCACCACGCTCTCCGCCCTCACCTCCTTCCTCTCCACCGCCTTCCCCCACTCCTCCCCCTCATCCTCCCCCTCCGCCTCCTCCCCCACCGTCCCATCCCCCTCCTTCACCTCCTCGCCCTCCCTCACACCGCCTGGCTCCGCGCTCCCTCTGCCCACCTCCCCCTTCACGCACCCACTCCCCACTCTCTCCGCCACATCCCCCCCTTCCCCCTCCGCCTCCGCCCCCTCCCCCCCCTCCGCCTGCGCGCCCCCAGGGGAGTACAGCTGGCGCCTGGGCGTGCGCCTGCAGCGCGCCCCTCTCCTCTCCGCCCTCCCCCCTGGGGGTAACCAGTCTGGTTACCATGTGCTCTGGTCACGGGAATCAGACGGGCCAATCACAGCCCTCCACGCGTACCGCTCCGCCCTCCCCCCTCCCTCCCCCTCCTCCTCCTCCGCCCACCTCCCCTCTCTCTCACCCTCGCTCCACAGTACCGGACAGGCTCTGTCCGCTTCGAAAGAGACAAAAGCAGCGACAGGGCCGGGAGGGCAGCAAGCAGCAGCAGCAACAGGCATGGCAGCAGCAGAGGGGGGTATGGAGGGGCTCAGCCGCCCAGCAGGCATAGCAGCAGCGCTCATCCCGCCTGTGCTTGCAGCGGTCACAGAGTGCCTTCCCCTTGTCTCCGCGCCTTCCCCCCACCTGCCCGCTCTCGCCTGCCTGCACTCCGCCCTCTCCGCCCTCCACTCCCTCCTCTCCCTCCACCCCCCCTCCCCCGCGGCCCTCCTCTCTTCCTCAGCCCCTTCCAACTCCTCCTTCCCCTCCTCCCCTTCGCCCCTGCTCTCGGGATTCACGCCTACCAACTCTGCCGGGTGCCAGTCATTTTCCTCCATCTTTCCGCACATGCCTGAAGCTGCTGCAGGCGCAGCACAGCCAGCTCAGCAGCAACAATCCCAGCCGCACCAACATCAGAATCACCAGCACCAGCAGCAGCAGCAGCAGCAGCAGCAGCAGGGCGGGTACGGGGACGCGCTGTCACGGGTGCTGCACAAGCTGGGCACGGCCTTCCCTCTGCACGCCCCTGCTGGCCTCGCTGCTGGTCGTGCCAAGGGCACCAAAGGCAGCAGCGGTACCGCCGGTGGGGCAGCAGCAGCAGCAGGAGGAGGGCAGCAGAGGGAGGTGGGCGAACAGCTGGCGCTGCTCAACGTGCTGCTCGCTGAATGCCTCTCTCTCTTTCTCCCTGCCTCCGCTGCCGCTGCTGCTGCTGCTGCTGCTGCTGATGGGTCCGGTGCAGCTGGTGCTGGTGGGAGGGGTATGGGGAAGAGGCGGAGGGGTGTGCAAGGGGAGGGGGGAAAGGGGACGCTGGGGGCTGGCGGAGGGGATGTGCGGGGGGAAAGGGGGACAGGGAGGGGAGCGGTGAGGGGAGACGCGCGGAGGAAGTTACTGGAAGGGAGCAGATTTGTGATTCTGATGAGCGGGGGACGAGGGGGGGAGGGGGGAGGGGGGAGGGGAAGCGGGAGCGAGAGAAGCAAAAGGAAGAATGGTGAACGTGAGGGCGAGCGGAGGAGAGGAGATAGGGGCGATGTCGAGGAAGCAGAGGAGGGTGGGGAGGAAGGGGGGGAAGAGGGGGAGAATGAGGAGGAGGAGGAGGAGGAGGAGGAGGAGGAGGAGGAGGAGGAGGAGGCGAAGAGGGAGGAGGCGAGGGAGGAGGCGTGGGTGGGGCGGCTGTATGAGTTCATGGAAGGCGCGATGGAGGGCAAGGTGAGAGGCATTGCATGGTGTTGCTGGGTGAGGGGTGGGGCGCGGTGAGGATGTGAATATCCAGAATGCATTCGCACAGAGCACCGGGCGATTCGAGGTGGGCAGGGCTGCAGATGGTTCTCTTCGCCCTGTCCTTCCCCCTCCCCGCTTCTCTCTCGCCTCAAAGCCCATCCCTTTCCTCTCTCTGCATCTTCCCCCTATCCTTTCCTTCCCCTTGCAGCTGCTTCCTGCTCCCACCGCTGCGCCAATCCTATCACGCCACGTCAGCGAGTCCCTTATCCGCCGCCTCCTCCCTCTCCTGCCGACCCTCCTCCATTACGCCCCCTCGGCCGCCCGCTGCGCCTCGCTGCTGGGCGGCTTCTCTCGTCTCTTCTCCGTGTCGCCCGCCCGCAGCGCCACCCGGGCTGCCTGCCTGGATGTGATGTTTGGGCTGCTGCAGCAACAGGCGGTGGGGGGGGAGGGGGGCTCAGGGGGGAAGGGTGGGGAAGGGAGCGAGGAGGGGGGAGAGGGGAAGAAGGCGAAGAGAAAGGAAGGGAGGCGAGGAGGGGCGAGGGGGGCGGAAGGATTGCCGGAGAAGGCGGTTGCTGATTGGCTGACAGCTCTTCCCAGACTGCTCTGGGACATCGGGGCCTCCCATCCTGCCACGTCACTGGTAAGTGCCACGTCACTGGTAAGTGCCACGTCACTGGTAAGTGCCACGTCACTGGTAAGTGCCACGTCACTGGCAGGGTTATTACTGCAGCACCAACTGGCAATGTAAAAGTGTCTGCGTTGACTGCTTTCTGGTGCCTGTTGTTGCACCTTTCACTCAACACCATACCAAACCCCATACCATCCCTCCCTCTCCCTGCCCCCCCCAACTCCCCTTCTCCCTTCCCCCTCTCACCAGACGGTGCTGCGCCTCTTCTTCCGCATCGCCTCCATCTCTCCACAATCACCGCCCTCCCCCTCCTCCTCCGCCCCACCCTCCTCGTCGTCGCTATCGGAGCACATCAGCAGTGTGCAGCCGCTGCTCGTGCCCTTCTTTGCCGCCTCCATTGCTGCTCGCCCTGCCGCACCAGCCACACCAGCCCCATCACCCGCAGCAGCAGCGCCAGCAGTCGAAACAGCGGCGGCGGAGGAGGCAGCAGCGGGGCATCGGCTGGTGGTGGGGCCGTTCCTGCTGCTGCCAGCGCCCCTGCAGGCGCTCTCGCTGGACCTGCTGCTCTGCTTCCCCCGCCTCTCCCTCCCCCTCCTGCAGTCCCTCGCCGTCTGCTGCATCGCCTCCCACTCGTTACACTCACACTTGTCGGAGTCACAAACCCAGCAAGAGCAGCAGCAGCACAAGGGGCAAGGCATGGAGCAGGACGCGTCTGAAGTAGCAGCAGCAGCACTGCTGCTGCCACGTGGCATGCGGTGGTTGGCGGGGAGGGCAGTGGAGGTGGTGGGGGCGGCGCACAGGAAGGGTGCAGTGGGCTTGCCAGAGTACCTTGGCTTCCTCGTCTCGCTGCTGCTCTCCCGCACTCGCACCCACTCCCACCCCGACATCACCGCCGCGTTCCAAGGGCGAGTGAGGCGGCACGAGGAGGCGGAGAGGCAGCACCACCAGCGGCACAGCCACACCCACGCGGGTCAGGCGGAGCCCAAGGGGGAATTGAAGAGCTCTCCACTGTCGGATCTTCCTCGGAGCAAGTCAGCGGGGTCGAGACGGTTCCTGGAAGATTCTTCGGGGTTGTGTGGCGAGATATGGGAGCGGGAGCCGGCAGTGGGGGCGGTGTGTGCCGCTCTCGTGCACGTGCCCGTGGGGGTTGGAGTGGGGGGCGCAGTGGGGGGCAGTGTGGGGGGTGGAGGGGGCGTGGGGGGCCAGGCAGGGGCGTTGATGGACGGAGCAGCAGTGTTGGACCTCGTCTCACAGCCACTGGCTGCTGCCCTCGTGAGTGCTTGCTTGCTACCCGCCCTGGTGAGTGCTGCCGCCGTGTGCCGTGCTGGGTGCGGGGCTGCTGCTTCCACGTGCACGCGTCTGCTGTGCCTGTCACTGCATGCCCCTTCCCATGCCTTGCCTTCCCTTGCCCCTCCACCGCCCCTCCACCGCCCGTCCAGCGAGCACTTCCTCCTGTGCTCATGTGCTCCGCCACTGTGAGCCGGCCCATTGCGCTGCTGCAGTCATTCCAACGTGGGGCCCTGTCGCTCTCTCTCCCCCCTTCTGCACGCCCCTGCGCTTCTCTTTCCCTCCCAACGCCATTCCAAAGTGACCCGTCCACCAGGTTTGAAGAGGCTTCACCGTTTCGCTGTCCCAAACCCTATCTCCTACTCTCCACTCACATTGATTCCATCCCCATCCCCATCCTCCCCTCCCCTCCTTCCGCCCCCTCCCGCAATTCTCCCTCGTCCCCCCCTTTTCCCTCCCTCCCACGCCTTGTGCCCCCCACAGAGCGACCCCTCCACCTCCGCGCCATGCCTGTACGGCACCTTCCGTGCCATCACTGCTTCGTCCACATAGTCTCTTTCTCCCCCCTCTTTTCCCCATTTCCCTCCCTCTCCACCTTCCCCCCCCCCACAGAGCGACCCCTCCACCTCCCCGCCATGCCTCTACGGCATCTTCCGTGCCGTCGCTGCCTGCTCCCGCCGCGCCCACCTGCACCCCTTTCCCGCCCCGCTCGGAACCATGCACGGTGGGGCAGAGGGAGGAGGTGGGGGAGAGATAGGAGGGAGTATAGAAGGAGACAAAAGGAAGGCTGCAGCGACAGTAGAGGCTGCAGACGAGTCAATCTCAGCCACAGCAGCAGCAGACAGCATTGAGGAGTGTGAAGAAAGGGCACGGCCATTACCATCACCATCAGCATCAGCATCACCATTGGCATGTGCGCCGTCACAAGCACACGGGTCAACGCCACGCCAGGCGACCACGTGTGTGCCGCCGTGCCTGTCAGCGCTGCTGCCAGCCAGCCTTGCTCGCTTCTGCTGCCGCCTGCTTCAGGTGAGCTCGCTGGTGATAACTCATGTGGTTTGTCTCGTGCCTCATGCAATTCTGCTCTCAGTGGTTACAGGTTGATGGTCTGTGCCGTGCCCCATGTGAAATGGTTGTGGGTATCCATCTGATTCACTTCACATGCATGCATGCGCTGTTGCAACGTTTAGACAAATTATCCCTCTATCCCCGTCACCCCGCCCCCCCCCCCCTTACATGAGCACCTTTCCACTCTCTACCCCTCGCCCGCTCCCCTCGCGCCTGCCCTCTCCACCTCCCCCCCCCTCACTGGCGCCCACGAGGGCTTGTCTGCTGTGCGCGCGCCCCTCGCTCGGCCCCACTCTGCGCCTGCTCGCCCTGCACCCCTTCCCCAACCTCGTTTCCCCAACTCTTATCCCTCTACCTCCGTTACCCCGCCCCACCCCCTTACAGGAGCATCTCTCCACTTTCTCCCCCTCGCCTGCGCCCACGAGGACGTCTGCTGCGTGCGTGCCCCTGGCTGGTACCTGGACTGCGCCTGCTCGCCCTCACCCACTTTCTCCTATCCTTGTTTCCTCACCCGCAACCCCGTACAGGAGCATCTATCCATGCTCTCCACCTCCCCCACCCCATCCCGCCCACGGGGCAATCTATGCTGCGCGTGTGCTTCTGGGTGGTGCCCTCCCTGCGCCTGCTCGCCCTGACCCACTTTCTCCTAACCTTGTTTCCTCACCCGCACCCCATTACAGGACCATCTTTCTACGCTCTCCGCCTCACCCCCCACTTCACCCTCGCCCACGAGAACATCTCTGCTGCGCGCGTGCCCCTGGCTGGTGCCAGCGCTGCGCCTGCTCGCCCTGCACCCTTTCCTGCTCGCGCCCTTCCTCCACCTCCTCCTGCCGACCGAGCAGCAAGAGCACGGCGCAGGGGCAGAGGGCGCGGAGACAGAAGGCACAGGAGCCGGGGTGCAGGCAAGGGCAGGCGTGGTGTGTGTGGCGGTGCTGTGGGACCCGTTGGAGCCCCCGCTGCTGCTGCTGGGGGCGGCAGACAGGCAGCGACTCACAGCTGGCCTGTCAGGGCTGATGGTGAGTGCATGGGGGGAGGGATAGAGAGGAAGGGGGAGGGGGGACGTGGGCATGGGTGGTGCAAGAGAGAGCGGGGTTATTTGGGAGGGAAATAGACAGTGGAAGGGGGAGAAGAGGGGCTGTACGAATGGCATGGTATGGCCGGACAGCTCATCCCTCTCAACCCCTCTGCACACGCATGTCTCCTGCCGTCTGCTCCTGCTCGCGTCTCCCGTCTTTCAACCCTTCTGTCCTTCCCTTTCCCGCTGCTCTCCTCTCCCATATGCTGCTCCAACCCTCCCAAATGACTCACCTATCCCTCCCCTCCCCACCGCGCACCCCCTCCAGTCCCCACCTCCTCCCCACCACCTCCCCACCACCTCCCCATCCACCAACCTGCACCTTATTCATCACTAGCAGCTAACCCTTCCCACCCCCCTCCTTGCCCCTCCCCTCTTGCTCCTCTCCCCCACCACGCACGCCACAGCACGAGGTGCAGGCAGCAGCAGGGGGGGGCTCCTCGGTGGGGTGGTGCGAGGCGCTGCTCTCCCAGGCACGCTCACGTCTCGCGCTGCTCTATGGCTGCTGCTGATGCTGCTGATACGCCACCACCGCTGCTGAGTGGTGTCCTAGGGGCCCGTTCATGGTCAGGCGTGCTGTGCTGTGCTGTGTTGCGACCGTTTGGTGTACAGTAACTGTTTCAGTGTAGTTTAATCATTGCTTCACACTTTGACAGTGCACAGCCTTACATATTAGTTTCTTAAGCCCACTTTGTGTACCGGTAGTGGTACACCGCACCTCATGAATAGTACTCCATAGAAGCCAGTCATCTCCTCTTCCTGCAAGTTAAGGTACCGGATCTGCAGGCCCTAAGGCAGCACCACTTGGGCATGACTCGTCACACGACCAAGTGCAGCCGTTAGGCATGCCTCTCCACCTCTGCCACCCACCATCTGCCATGCTTGATTGAAACCAGGGAATGCTTGTAAACCTACCTACTTCCCACCTTGACGGACGGACCCTCGAGGGGATGAAAGTTCTGTTGGGCTGAAAAAGCCCTTAGGATCTTTGCAGAGGTGAATTCTGGGTAGAGTTGATGTAGTAGCGGAAGCGTCTTAATAAGGAGTTTGTGAACCACCTTGCGCTAGTATGTGAGGGCAAAGTGAATTGATTAAAGCAAAGAGATACAAGATTATATTTGAATACAGAGAATATGAAGAGACACAGTTATACGGTAACTACTTTACTGTTGCTGTTGCGGTTCGATACAGTGACGACTCGGGCAACTGCTCTGTAAAGAGTCAGTTGTGTGTCCTTGCTGTCGCGCTGCATTTGTCAGGTCAAAGGTCGCTGACCTTTGACTTTCGCGTAACCTCCAGCGGTTACTTCAACCTCCGAGAGTTGACTTGCTGGTGCCTCGATATGCTCTGCTTCGCTTGTGCCTTAGTGTTTTGACACGACAGAGGCGCTTAGGAACTATTGTTTCCAACAAGTTCAACCTGGTATGTGAAGGGTGTTGGTCAACGGAGTGCAGATGGGATGGAGTGCAAGCTGCACGTACCGGTAGTGTGTCGTTGTGTGTTACCGGTACCGTCATCACCCGGATATTGTCAAATGTTGTAGCCTATAGTGAGGTTTGTCTTAGGGGGTACAGAAGTTAGGGTTTGTCATATGTACCCCAACCAACATCAATGGCATCATCCATTCCTCATTCTGACATGGTATCAGCTAGGTTAGGATCCTGTGGGATCCCGTTCCTCCGTTCTCCGTTCGTACCTCCCGAGCCTGACCCTACCTCTCGTTCGTACCAGTTCCGTTGTTACCGCGCCTAGTACCGAGCCTAGCGCCCTTTCCCCCCGTCGCTTAGCGCCCTTTCTCCCCCCCCCCCCCCCCCGTCGCGTCGCCCTGTCCCGTCGCGTCGCGCCCTTTCCCCCCGTCGCGTCGCGCCCTTTCCCCTCGTCGCGTCGCGCCCGTTCCCCCCGTCGCGTCGTGCCCGCCCGTTCCCCCCCGTCGCGTCGTGCCTGCCCGTTCCCCCCCGTCCCGTCGCCCTGTCCCGTCGCGTCGCCCTGCCCCGTCGCGTCGCCCTGCCCCGTCCCGTCGCCCTGTCCCGTCCCATCGCCCTGCCCCGTCGCGTCGCCCTGCCCCGTCGCGTCGCTCCCGCCCTTTCTCCCGTCCCGTCGCCCTGCCCTACGCCCTAGCCCGTCGCCCTACTCTAAGCCCTGGCCCGTCGCCCTACCCTAAGCCCTGCCCCGTCGCCCTTCCCTCCGCCCTGGCCCGTCGCCCTTCCCTACGCCCTGGCCCGTCGCCCTACCCTAAGCCCTGGCCCGTTGCCCTACCCTACGCCCTGGCCGGTTGCCCTACCCTACGCCCTGGCCCGTCGCCCTAGCCCGCTCTTCCGCTGCGACTGAGTCCTCTTCCTCCCGGTTGTTACTCGCCTGTTCGTTTGCGTTAGTTCTCACTATGGCGACTCCGCGAGTTCTTCGTTTCGACGCTGACGGTAGACCCCTTGACTTTTCCGTCTGGCTTCTTCGCGCTCGCCGTCTGTTAGAGAGTCAGGTCCAGGGGGGCGAGACCCTCTGGTCGCACGCTACTGGTGACCTCCCCGAGCCCCCCGAGCCTACAGCTTTAGGCTCTGCCCCTGACGACGCTGCTACGGCTCGCTTTGCCCGTCAGCGCGCTGACCGGACGGCTTGGACGTCGCGTGACGCTGCGGCCTGCATCGCACTCAGCAGCCTCCTCCCTGAGTCAGAGGAGGTCCACTTTACTCAGGTTCGCACCGCTGCTGCGTACCTCACTGCGATTAAGGCCCGCTACTCTACTCCCGCTACTGTCTCTCTTGGCCGTCTTTTCCTCCCGTTCCTGTTTCCTGATCTCGCCTCGTTTGAGCGCTCTGCTGACTTGATCGCTCACCTCCGCTCGCTCGACGCTAGTTACCGCGCTGCTTGCACTGGGGCACAGCTTGCACTGCTTCCTCCCCCCATGGCGATTACTGTCTATTTCATCGCCACTAGCCTCCCTGACCGCCTAGCCTCCGTTCGTGACGCGCTTCTGCTGAAGCACCCTAGTGAGCTGACTATCGAGGTCCTTGAGTCTGCACTCAAGGACGTCGAGAGCAACCTTCGCTCGGTAGCTGCCGCCTCTGGTACTGTGTCCCCCCCACTCTTCCACGGGTGCACACTCCCGCAGTTACCCACCTTCACTGCCTCTCTCGCCACTGCCGCTACTGACGCGACTGCGGCTGCTGTTACGACTGCGTCGCGGTCCCGCGGCAAGGGGGGCAAGAAAGGTAGTTCTGGTGGAGGTGGAGGTGGAGGTAGCGGAGGTAGTGGGGGTGCTGTTGCGACTGGCGGTGGTGGGAGTGCAGCGTCTGGAGAGACCCCTCGTGCAGCGGCTGGTGACTCCACTGCGCCTGCTGGTGGCGGCGACCCCCGAGCTCGTCAGTCGCCTCCTGTACTGCCGGCCCCGCTAGGTGGAGCAGCGGCGTGGTACCAGGCTCAGCGGCAGCAGCACCTTCAGCAGCAGCAGCAGCCCCTTTCCTCCCAGCAGCCTCAGCAGCAGCAGCGTCAGCAGCTGGCTCCGGGGTCGGGGCTGCGTCAGCCCCAGCGCGGTACTGCTTACCCTCCCTGCCCCTACCAGGTTCTGACAGGTCCTCGTCGGGGCCACCCTTGTGGCCGCTTTCACCCCCCTGGTCAGTGCTTTGCTCAGCTCACTGACACGGTCCGGTTGGCCTACGGGGTTGGCGGTCCTGCTCCTGACTGGCTTCCTCTGGTTCAGCGCTACGGCTCCGCTCTGTGGGGCATGTCTGCTGAGCAGTTAGTTGATCTGATTAGTGCTCCTCATGCTATGTATGCTGTTGTTGACTCTAGTGTTTCTGACTCTGTTTACTCTGGTGTTGTTAGCTTAGGTGCTAGTCTTGCTCAGTTGCCTGTTGCTAGTGTAGGTTCTTGTGTAGACTCTAGACCAGCGACTACCTCAGAGGACGCTTCGCTGTCGTTCACGCTGGACTCTGGAGCCTCCCACTGCTTCTTCCGGGACAGCACGACACTTACACCTCTTCCTGCGCCTGTTTCTGTTGCGTTGGCTGATCCCACTACGGGACCAGTCACTGCACGTCACACTACCACTTTACCGTGTCCTGCTGCTCCCTCCGGGTCTCTCACTGGGTTTCACGTCCCCTCGTTCTCCCGGAACTTGGTGGGCGTGCGACCCCTCGTGAGTCAGCACGTGGGTGTGTGGTTTGAGCCTTCTGGAGAGACTGCGGTGTGTGTTGACGGAGACTCTTACCAGCCTCTTGCTACCTTTACTGCTGAGCCGGGCTCGGGTCTCTACACTCTTCACACTGGCCCGCGTGCGCCGCAGCAGCAGCCGCAGCAGCAGCAGCAGCCGCAGCCGCAGCAGCAGCAGCAGCAGCAGCAGCAGCAGCAGCACCAGCGGCCGCACCAGCAGCCCCCCCTACTGCCACTGCCCCCGGTCCCCCCCCCCCGTTCGGGTCCCCGCGTCTCACCAGGTTGCTTCGTCCCCCCCGGTGTCTGTGTCGTGTCTGGTTCCTACGTCTGTTCCAGTCGCTGCGTCGTGCTCCTGCCGGTCGCTTGCCCACCCCACCGTTCTGTGGCACCACCGGATGGGGCACCCGTCCCTTCCTCGTCTGCGCGCTATGTCCAGTCAGCGTCTTGTCCCAGGCCTCCCACGTGTCTTGCCGTCGCTGCCGCCTTCGCTTGCGCCGCCGTGTGGTCCCTGCGTCGAGGGTCGGCTGCGCGCCACCCCTCACTCCTCCTCCCTATGTCCGGCCACCGAGCCTTTTGAGACGCTTCACTTGGACGTCTGGGGCCCCGCCCCTCGTCTAGGCCCTGAGCGTGAGCGTTACTTTCTGGTGGTCGTTGACGACTTCTCCCGCTACACCACAGTGTTCCCTCTGGCGAAGAAGTCTGAGGTGACTTCTACGCTGATCAGGTGGTTGCTCACCACCGAGGACACTCGTGGTCGTCGTGTCAGCTGCCTCCACTCCAACCGTGGGGGTGAGTTTCGCTCCGGCATTCTCGCTGGATTCTGTCGCGAGCAGGGCATTCGTCAGTCCTGGACGCTTCCAGAGTCCCCACAGCAGAATGGGGTTGCTGAGCGCCGCATAGGCCTGGTCATGGAGATCGCCCGCACCTCCCTGACTCACGCCTGTGCCCCCCATTTTCTGTGGCCCTACGCGGTCAGGTACGCCGCGCACCAGCTGAACCTCTGGCCACGTGTCTCTCGACCAGAGGTGTCACCGACCAGTCTTTGGACAGGGTCCCCTGGTGTTGCGTCGCGGTTTCGCGTCTGGGGGTGCTTGGCTCTTGTCCGCGACACCTCCGCGGACAAGCTCTCGCCTCGTGCCGTCCCCTGTGTCTTCCTTGGTTTTCCTGAGGACTCCTCTGACTTCACCTTTTACCACCCTCCCTCTCACCGGTTCTTTGACTCCCGTGACGTCCGTTTCGAGGAGTCCACTCCGTACTACGTCAGGTACCCCAGTCGAGGTCTCCCGGTTCCTCCTCCCCCCTTCTTCCTGACTGCAGCCCCCCCTCCTGCTCCCCCGGTACAGCCTCCCCCCCCTGGTCCAGCCCCGTCAGGTGTGTCACAGGCTACCCCTCCTCCTTCGGTAGCCCCTCCGGTACGGCCTCCCTCCCCACAGTCCTCCTCGCAGCGTGCCGCTGGTGCTAGCTCTCGAGAGGTTGGTGCTGCGCCTGTTCCTGTACCGGTTTCTGGTTCTGGGGGTGCTGGAGTTGGAGCTGGAGTTGGTGCTGGAGTTGGCACTGGAGTTTCTGGTTCTGGGGGTGCTGGAGTTGGAGCTGGAGTTGGAGCTGGAGTTTCTGGTTCTGGAGTTGGAGCTGTCCCGGTGGGTGCGGAGGACTCTTGTCGTCCGGGAGCTGGTGCTGGTCGCGCGGCCACTGGGGGTGCTGCGTCTGGGGGTGAGGGTGCGCCTCCTTCGGGTTCAGGTGAGCCTGGGTCTGGAGCTGGTGTTAGTGCTGCCTCTGGGGGTGGTGCGCCTAGTTCTTCTGGGGTGGACTCTGGAGCTGCCGCTGCTTCGGACGCTACTCCACCCCCCCACCCCTACCCGACTAGGCACCAGGCTCGTGTTCGCCGTGCCCGTGACGAGCAGCTTGCGTTGGAGAGAGAGGAGAGGGAGTTACAGCGGCTGGAGGAGCAGCAGCAGCAGCTAGAGCCGCAGGAGCAGCAGTAGCAGCAGCTGGACCCGCAGGAGCAGCAGTCCCAGCAGCAGCCGCTTCCGCAGTAGCAGCAGTCGCAGCAGCAGCAGCAGCAGCCGCTTCCTCCTCCTGTCTCGGGTCTTCGGACCCTTGGTCTCCCCTCCCCTTCTCCTCCCTCCTCCGCCTCTCCTCCTGTCTACGGTCCCACGTTTCCTCCTCCTGACTCCTCCCCCGCTGTTTTCCCCAGTTCTCCGCCTTTGTCCTCTCCTCCTCCGTCTCGTTCTTAAGCTACTCGTCGCTCCCCTCGTGCTCGTCCCTCGTCTCCTGTTCCCTTCACTGACCTTCGTACTGCTTTCCTTCTTACTAGTCCACCTCGTCCGTCTCAGTCTGTGCTTCCGTCTCCTCCTGAGTCGGCCCTCACTGTGTCGCTCCCTACTCTTGTCACTGACTACTACCGCACGTACCGTCCTGTTCTCTCTCGTGTTCTCGCCTCTCTTGTTACTCACCCTCGTGTCTCTGTGTCCTCTGTGTCCGCTCTTACTGCCGCGGTTACTGACTTTGCCTCTACCCGCCGCCTTGACTACGCCACCACGCTTGTGACTGCTCCTCCTACCAGTCCTCTGGTCGTCGGGGGTGTGTCTGCCCTTGGCTGTGACGCCCTAGAGGACAGGCAGTTTGAGCTAGAGTTCCTGGCGGCCGCTTCCCCTCATCTCTGTGCCATGCTCCTCGCCCCTGAGGGTGACCCCGACGCCCTTGACATTCCGACTCCTCGCACTTACGCTGAGGCAGTGTCAGGGCCTTGGGCCTCTCAGTGGAGAGCTGCCATGGACGCAGAGATGGCCTCCTACAGATCCACAGGCACCTACGTCGATGAGGTTCCCCCCCCTGGGGCGAACGTAGTCGACGGCATGTGGATCTACAGGGTGAAGCGGCCACCGGGATCTCCCCCGGTCTTCAAGGCGCGCTACGTGGCTAGAGGTTTCAGTCAGCGCGAGGGAGTTGACTTCTTTCAGACCTTCGCACCTACCCCGAAGATGACCACTCTTCGGGTGTTACTACACGTAGCAGCACAGAGAGACTACGAGTTACACTCTCTTGACTTCTCCACTGCTTTCCTTCAGGGCAGCCTACACGAGGAGGTCTGGTTGCGTCGTCCCTCGGCCTTCACTGGCACTTTCCCTCCTGGGACCCAGTGGAGGCTGAGGCGACCTGTTTACGGTCTTCGCCAGGCCCCTCGTGAGTGGCACGACACTCTGCGTTCTACCCTCTCTGACCTTGGGTTCCAGCCGTCTTCTGCCGACCCGTCGCTGTTCGTTCGTCGTGGCTCCACACCGTTCTTTGTTCTGGTCTACGTCGACGACCTCGTTTTCGCCACTCCGGACAGGGTTGCTTTGGCAGACGTGAAGTCCGAACTGCAGAAGAGACACACGTGCACTGATCTTGGTGAGCTGCGCCACTACCTTGGCCTGCAGATCACCAGGGACAGAGCCGCTCGCACCATTACACTCTCACAGTCACACATGGTGCAGCAGGTCCTTCAGCGGTTCGGGCTTCAGCACTCCACCGTACAGCGCACACCTCTCGCTGTTGACCACAGACTCACTGGTCCCTTTCCTGACGAGCCGTTTGAGCCTAGTGGTCCCTACGCAGAGCTTGTGGGTTGCCTCATGTACCTGATGACTTGTACTCGCCCGGACCTCGCCTTCCCTCTCAGCATCCTTGCGCGCTTTGTTGCGCCAGGGAGACACCGTCCTGTTCACTGGACGGCAGCTGTGAGGGTGGCGAAGTACCTAGCGACTACATCAGGCGTGGGGCTAGTTCTTGGAGGGCAGCAGTCTGTCGTACTCACTGGTCACTGTGACTCCTCTTACGCTGACGACGCTGAGACTCACAGGTCTACTCAGGGGTACTGTTTCAGTCTGGGTTCTGGAGCTATTTCCTGGCGTTCCACGCGCTCCTCTTCTGTCTCGACCTCTACAGCTGAGGCTGAGATTTACGCTGGTGCCATGGCGGCACAGGAGTTGCGGTGGTTGACCTTCTTGCTCGCCGACCTTGGTGAGCGGCCGAGCTCTGCACCGACCTTGTTCACTGACAACAAGGCGTCGATCCTCCTCTGTCGTGAGCCGCGACTGGAGAGCAGAGTGAAGCACATTCACGTCAGGTACTTTCTTCTGCGAGAGTTGCAGAGGCGTGGACAGGCTCGCTTCGAGTTTGTGGAGTCCGAGGCCAACACTGCAGACATCTTCACCAAGGCGCTTCCGCCTCGTGACCACCAGAGGTGTTGTGTGCAGTTAGGCCTTGTTGACACAGGTTCTAGTCATGTGTAGGCTTGAGTTTATTGGCTGCTTCGTCTGTACTCTTGCTATATATACTTGTGATCTCTTGGACTGGCCTTGTGGCCACTGTTGCTTGTGCTCAGAGTGTGTGGTGACGTTGTGATCCACCCTGAGCTTTGTTTTCTTTTGGACTGGTCTTGTGACCGTACTCTTTTTATTTTGCTAGACACCCCTCACTTAGGCTATGGGGGTGTGTCAAATGTTGTAGCCTATAGTGAGGTTTGTCTTAGGGGGTACAGAAGTTAGGGTTTGTCATATGTACCCCAACCAACATCAATGGCATCATCCATTCCTCATTCTGACAGATATACCCCCAGGTGGGGGTGTAAAAAAACCTGGAAAAATGGTGGGTGGGCTTATAATGTGGTAAATTTTATAACCCCATGGGCTAAATAAATGACACTTATGGAATTTTGATTTTATAACACTGGAATGTAGATTTCACCCTGGCGATTTAAATCGATGCTTACACAAAGAGGATCGCTGCTGAAAAGTTCCGAGAATGTGTCGTACAGTCAAGAATCCGAGTCAGCACCTGCTCAAATGTTGCAGATTTCGCGCACGTGCACCTCCTGTGGCAATTTTGCCAAGCGAGCCAGGGGGGATTTCGTCAGGCACGTCTGTGACGATTCGTTTAGGCGCGTTAGTGGTGATTGCGCTACAAAAAAAAACCAGAATTCATTGGGTGCGCTTATACGAAGATTGACACAACTTGGGGTGGGCTTATAATCGGCAACCGGCTATAAGCCCACTAGTACGATTATAACCGCATGGGTGTAACATAGGCCTGGGGGTATATCCGGGTGATGACGGTATGTTGCTGTTGGTGATGGAGGAGAATGCTTAGCCCGTGAATGAGAATGCCCGTGGCTGCAGAGCAGAGTAGGTATGGTTGAGAGTACCGTACGTGCAAAACACTTTGCACTGGTTTTTCTTTCTTTGTGTGGTGCGGACTTGTTTAACCAGCCATGCTGCTGAGCCTCCAGTGTGCATCAAGTGTTGCCTGCCTCTGTTCTGTGGTATCGATGTGTTGTGCAAGCAAGGGACTTGTTGGACCAGCGAACACATAAAAACAACTGAGATTTCAATAATCGCGGTAGAATGATACAATTTATTACCAACCAGACACCAGGGGATCAGGAGCAGGCAGCACAGAGAGGCAGAGACAGGGCCAGGGCAACAGCACTACCATCTAGCCACGGCTGCGCCCCTGCTCTTCCCTCCCTCCTGCACGCCCCCCTGCCACGTCCCCATCACACCCATACATCCATCCAGCAATTCTCCTTGGCTCCCTGCTTCACATGTTCCGATCCGACCCAAATCTCCACACCCCTTCATGTGTTCTCTTGCAACCTTCTCGCCACCCAGATTCACACTCGTTCCACCCGCATGTCCCTCCACACATCCTCCCTCCCCCGCACAGCACCGCACAGCAGCGCTCTACAGGTAGGGGGGCGCGGGGTTCCAGTTCCAGGGCATGCCGTTGGCGCGGGGGGGAGGGGTGGGGCCGCCGCCCACCCAGTAGGGCTTGCCGAGGATGTTAGGAATGGAGCACTTGCCGTTGAACCCCGTGCTGAGGTGGTACGGCTGCCGCGCGCACTCCATCAGAATGCTCACCCAGTTCGCATACCCCACGCTCTCCAGCCACACATTGCCGAACGCGCGCCGCCCGTACGCGGAGGGGTTGACGCCCGGGCACGTGGCCCAGAGCTTCTTGTAGCCGAGCTCCGTGGTGTTGATGGCCTGGCAGTTGCAGCCGTACTTGAACCACATGCCGTAGTTGGAGTTGGGGTTGCACGTATACTTGGTCGACATCTGCGTCCACCCCAGCGCGTCGGACGGTGACGTGAACGAGAGGAGGAGAGCCGCGGTGAGCGAGAGCGCCAAGAGCGGGAGCAGCGGGAGCGCGCGGCTCGCTGCAGCGGCGCGGGTGGTCGCCATGGTAGCGGCGGCGGTCGTGGCGGAGGTGGCGGGTGGAGAGTCAAGCCGGAGAAAGGCTGGTGGGCGGTGGTGAAGAAGAGTGCGAAGGCGTAGACTTGACTCCGAGAGTCAGATGTGGAAGGAGGCGGGTGAGGAGAGAAGGCGGAGCTGAAGGCCGATGATGGAATGGGGATGGCAGGAGCGGGCTTTATAGCTCCAAAGGGACGGGTATGGCAGAGTGAGTGCTGCTGGGCGTGAGACTGAGACGAACCGCGACTCCGAGGCGCTTCGAAACACTTTCTCTACCCTATCCTGCCTTGCACTGCCTTCCCTTTTCCTGCCCCGCCCTGCCTTGCCCTGCCCGTCGTCTCTTGCCCGCCCCGCCATGCGTCCCGCTGCTCCAAGCGACGCTGGTGGTTGTTGCGAGTCAGGTCGACCAGACGATACGAGTCGTCGTGATGACGGGCAGGCAAAGAGCCATCATCGTGTGCCGCGTCGACGCGCACCGTTGCATGCTACTAGCGGAGTCCGCGGCGGTGGTGGGAAACTCAACCACTTCAACTACCCAGTAGTACTATCGGTGCGGAGGAAGCATCGGGCATCGACAGGTGATGCAGCTGCTGCTGCAGCTGCAAGGCTGCCTGCCGTGCGTGGTCGGGCTAGTCGGATAGGCGCGTGTGGCTCGATGAAGCAGGGGGGCTGTCTTGTTCCCCGCTAGACTGGTGGGTGTCGAGTCCAATCCAACTGTCGATTTCGAGTCGCGAGAGGATCGCCGAGGTGGTTGTTGGAAGGGAATTACTAGGAGACGGAACGACACATTCGTTCTCGGGGTGTGTGGCTGTCATACGTGCGTCGCGACAATGGAATGGAATGGAACGCGAGTTTTGGCGGTGGGATGAATGGAACGACTTGCTGAGAATCGCCGCGAATTGCGTCGCGGGGCGATGAAACGTGCGATGGAGGATGAACGGGTGTATCAACGAGGGACAATTCCGTAGCCCGATGCACGATGCGGTAAACCGTCCGATCTGATGCCAAAGGAACAACCTAGAGGTTTTTTCCGAAAAACATCGGCGATGGGAGATTTGAGAAGACAGATCTGGTTTTTGCTAGCTTGTCGCCTTTGTGTCGTTTCGACTCCATGCTTGCTTTGTACGGTTGACTCGCGACCAAAAACCTCGTTACAGAGTTCTTGTTAATTTGAAGACGAAACGGCGGAACCAGTCATGTAAAAAACAAAAACTGGTTTGGTGCAAAGAGTTGTTATTTTCAGCACAGGTACGAGGGATGGGGAGAGCTCCTCTCTTTGCCCATCACTTGGCAGCAAACAAACCAGTAACCGTCGCTTTAGTAACCGTCGGGTTACCAGTAACGCCTCCTCGATCTCGTCAATCAGGCAGTTTGCTACACCTTCCACGCGAAGCTTGCTCGAGTAGGGTGACCAGTTACCTCAGAAACCCTAATTTTTGCTCGCGACTGCCTGAGAGGTCCCGTCCAGCAGTCGCTCAGGCTGGCCCCGCAACAAACGGAATGGCCGGTATGATTGACGGGCGAGAGTTGACGGACGTCAGAGCTGACGAGGAACGTCTGGCGGATCGGCGCTCTAAGGCAGGCTCCACCAACCACGAATCGGCAATTGTTGTCGGATCCACTGGGGATGCGGATTTAGCTGACCCTGCAGATAGTTCACATCAGGTGGTCGCTGCGAAGGGACCGATGCTTCCCAAACCCGCAGGGGACAGGGTTTTAGAGGATGGCGCGCAGGGGAGCAGCGCGCGGAAGAAGCGGAAAGGGGAAATTGAGGGGAAGAGCGGGTCGAACGGGGAGGGCGAGGGGAAGGGTGAGAGTGCAAGTGGGAGGGGCGGAGGGAAAGGGGCGAGCGGGGAGAGTTGCGGGTTCTGGCTGGTGAAGAAGGGGCGGGCGTGCTCCAGCCGCAGGAAGCCCGGCCACATGTACTCCCCTCCCCTGTCCCCCCGCTCCTCTAGGGTCACTGTTTAGGGTTTTGCTTTCTAGGTTTAACTTTACAGGGTTTTGGTTGGCAAAGAAGGGGCGGGCGTGCTCCAGCCGCAGGAAGCCCGGGCACAAGTACTTCCCCGCCCCCCTGGACCCCATTCGTCTGGGGGTCCGCTTTCTTGGGCTTCTCTTTCCAGGGCTTTGCCTCCCAGAACTTCGCTTTATAGTGTTCCGCTTTCCATGTTTTTCGCATCCTAGGGTTGGGCTTTCTAGGGTGTTTGGCCTTGCATTTCCTCCCAGTGCCATCCCCATCAAGCCATCCCCTCGCCCATCCCCCCTAGGTCATTCCCCCTCGCCCATCCCCCTTAAGCCATGCCCGCTCGCCCATCGTCCTGCTTTCCCCGCACTCATTCTCCCTCGCTTTTCATCTCATCTCGTCCCGTCTGCCCTCCCTGTGCGGTGCATCTGCCCCCTCGCCCCCCGTGTTACAGGTTCTGTGGTAACCACATCCCAGAGACTGCAGCGCTGCGAGTGCCCTGCCCGGTCGACGCCTCCCAGTACGCTCGTCTCCTCTCCCCCTCCATTCTGCGCCCCTCATTTGTCTCCTCTCCCCACTCTCCTCCTCCTCTCACTCTCCTCTCCCCACCCCCTCCCCCCCTCACTCTCCTCCTCCCCTCAGTCTACCGCTCTTTTCCCTCCTTGTCTTCCCTGCCACATCCCACCTGCGCCTCGCAATCGCTGCTGCCCCCCTGCATCTCTCTTCACGCACCCCCTGCATCCTTGCTCCCTCTCCCCTCTCTCATCTCTCTCATCTTCCCTCCCCACTCCGCTCCGCCATCCCCCATCCCCTTGCCCTCCCCTCAATGCACGCTGCGTGGCAGCACCATACTCGCATCCGAGGTCCAATTGCACGTCACCAAGTGTCCTGCAGCCGTGCAGAGGGGGTTGACAGAGGGAGCAGCGTACTTCAAGGGCGGCCTCAATGCAAGAGGGCCGCCACTAGGTGCCAGAAGCAGCTCCACGGCCCAGGCAGGGGGTCTTGCTGCTGCTGACTCCACTGCTGCTCATGCCCATATCGCTGCTGCTGCTGATGCTGCTGCTTCTGCCCCTGCTGCTCCCACTACTGCTGCTGCGGCGCCTGGGCCTGACGGACAGGCCGCGGCTGCATCCGCCTCTGCTGGCAAGCGAGCGGCCTCATCATCATCAGCAGCAGCAGCAGCAGCAGCGGCAGCGAGGAGGCAGATGGTGGCGGCGCTGGGGGAAGGCGAGTGGCAGCGCCTGCTGCACCTGCTGGGGGAGGCACATGCAGTAGCCTTTGGGGGCCATGGCGGTGTGCGTCTCCCTCCCCTGACCCCCTCGGGAGAAAATGAGCATGCAGAGATGGTTCCTAGTGGGCAGGCAGCAGCACCAGCACTGCCGCCAGCAGCAGAAGCACCAAGAGCAGCAGCAGGAGCAGCGCCGCTGTTCACTGTGCAGCAGTCGGTGCTGTGGCCGCCTGCATGTGACGCCTGGGAGCAGACTGCTCGAGACATGGGCGGGTGAGGCATGGGCGGGTGAGACATGGGCGGATGAGACATGGGCGGGTGAGACATGGGCGGATGAGACATGGGCGGGTGAGACATGGGCGGATGAGACATGGGCGGGTGAGACATGGGCGGATGAGACATGGGCGGATGAGACGTGGGCGGATGAGACATGGGCGGATGAGACATGGGCGGGTGAGGCATGGGCGGGTGAGGCATGGGCGGGTGAGGCATGGGCGGGTGAGGCATGGGCAGATTGGATATAGGCGGTTGAGACATCTCCCCTCTGGTTATCCCATCTCTGATGAAGCATGTTATGTACGTCTCCTTCCCCCTAGCTGTCTCCCCTGCTCCCCTCCCCTCTGCTCTCCTCTGCGCCCCCCTCTGCCCCCCTCCCCCACCTCGCCCCACCGCACCAGGAGTGTGCCATTCAAGCCACGCCATGTGAGGCAGCAGGCGTCCATCCTCACCCGAGTGGTACTGCTGCACCCCCTGCCTGGCGCTCTGCTGTGTGCGTGTGTGTGTCGTGTCATGCCATTTCATCTCCCCACTCCCCCCCTCCCCTCCCCTCCCCTCCCCTTCCCCTCTCCTCCCCTCGCCCCACCGCACCAGGAGTGTACCATTTGAGCCGCGGCATGTGAAGCAGCAGGCGTCCATCCTCGCCAACCTCGCCCGCGTGGGGCTGCTGCGCCCCCTGCCGCGCCCGCGCACGGTTGAGCGACCAGCAACACAGACAGGCGCGCAGGCAGAGAGGGGTGCAGTGGTGCAGGGAGACGCGCAGGGAGGCAGCACAGCAGGGCACGTGAGAGGGGCAGAGCAGGCAGGAGCGGGAGGGGCGGGGCAGCAGCGTGGGGGCGAGGAGGCCAAGGAAGCACGCCCGCATGCCGGGGCTGCAGCCGTGCAGCACGGAGGGGAGGAGGCGGGGCGGCAGGGAGAGGAGAAGGGTCTGGCGGTCCCAGTGAAGGAGGGCGAGAGCGAGGGCGGGGGCGAGGGAGAGGGCAGGGTGTATGTGGAGCTGGGCGCGGGCAGGGGGTACCTGACTCACATGCTGTGCTCCTGCTTCCTCGCCCGCCATGTGGTGCTCGTTGAACGCCGCGCTTACAAGTTCAAGGTGGGGGGAGAGGGGTGGGGAAGAGGGGTGAGGGAAAGGGGTGGGGTAAAGGAGGGCAGACGGGGAGAAGGGGAAAGGGAGGTGGGAGAGAGGTGGGAGAAGGAGGGTTGTTTGTGGTTGGTAGGTTATGTAAGTGGGTGCATGTATGGTTTGGTTGAATGCTTAACTGCAAGGAGGGACAGATGTGCCATGCTGCCATGGTCAGCACTTGGTGCAGGGGAAAGAACGAATGGAGGAGCAACTCAAAGGTTCTCTTTTCCTTCTCCTTAGAAACAGGCATGCCGAGTGGGGTTGGCACGCATGTGACATTCTCACTCCTCCTTTCCTCCCCTCTTTCCCCCTCTCCCAAACCCACGTTTTAGTTACTAATCTTCTCCTCACCCTCTTCCTTCCCCTTCCCCTTCTCTCTCGTCCCGTTCCTTTCCTATCTCTTCTTCTTTCTCTCCTTTCCTATCTCTCTTCTCCTTTCTCTCCTTTCCTATCTTTCTTCTCCTTTCTCTCCTTTCCTATCTCTCTTCTCCTTTCTCTCCTTTCCTATCTCTCTTCTCCTTTCTCTCCTTTCCTATCTCTCTTCTCCTTTCTCTCCTTTCCTATCTCTCTTCTCCTTTCTCTCCTTTCCTATCTCTCTTCTCCTTTCTCTCCTTTCCTATCTCTCTTCTCCTTTCTCTCCTTTCCTATCTCTCTTCTCCTTTCTCTCCTTTCCTATCTCTCTTCTCCTTTCTCTCCTTTCCTATCTCTCTTCTCCTTTCTCTCCTTTTCGCGTGATCACTGCCCTTCATATCTGCCCCACCCTCCCCTATCTCTCCCTCACTCCCCACTTCCACTCTCATTCCCACCTTAACTCCCACTTCTTCTCCCACTCCCCGCACCCCCCACCCTGCGCTCCTCTGCCCCTTCCCCTCTCCCCTTTTTCATCTCCCCTCCTCCCGCTTTCTCTCTATTATTCTCTCTTTGACCTTCCCATCTCTCATTGATTCCCTCTCTCAATTCCCCACTCTCTTCCTGTCAACTCTCTCTCCACTTCTTTATTCCTTCTCTCTCCCCCTCTCCTCCCCCACCCTGCGCTCTCCCCGTCACCTCTCGTTGGTCCTGACACATTGTCCCGTTGCAGGCTGATCGTGCTCTGAGGAAACTCCCAGGAGTTAACCTGATGCGCGTCCGAGTTGACAGTAAGACACACAGATTGCAGCATGGGCATGGGCATGGGCATGGGCATGGGCATGGGCATGGGCATGGGCATGGGCAAGGGCAAGGGCATGGGCATGGGCATGCGCATGCGCATGGGCATGGGCATGGGCAAGGGCATGGGCATGGGCATGGGCATGGGCATGGGCATGGGCATGGGCATGGGCATCATGATCTTCCCCCTTGCCACTGCAGCACGCCACTCATCACCAAGCACCTCGTTAACGCCCACCCTCTCTCTCCCGCCTATCCCTCTCCCGTGTGTCCCCCGCCCCAGTCGCAGACCTGCAGCTGGCAGCGCTGCCGAGCCTAGAGGGTCGCCCCCTGGTGGCCATCAGCAAGCACCTCTGCGGCCCCGCCACAGGTGGGGTGCTCCTTGCCACAGGTGGGGTGCTCCTTGCCACAGGTGGGGTGCTCCTTGCCACAGGTGGGGTGCTCCTTGCCACAGGTGGGGTGCTCCTTGCCACAGGTGGGGTGCTCCTTGCCACAGGTGGGCACGTGGGGTGCACAGAGGCACACCACCACAGGCACACCACCACAGGTACAACTCTGCTTCACCTGGCATGTAAGGTGCTCCTGGGGGCATGTGGGTGCTCTCCATGGCATGTGGGTGCTCTCCATGGCATGTGGGTGCTCTCCATGGCATGTGGGTGCTCTCCATGGCATGTGGGGTGATGGCATGTGACGTGCAGCATGGGGTGCCATGGGACCAACCGTTTGGGGTCCACAGGTGGGACGTAAGGTGGAGTGTGGGGGAGGTGACTTTTGAGTCGACTCAAAAGTCACCTCGTGGGACGTAAGGTGGAGTGTGGGGGAGGTGCTTCGGCGGTGTGGGGATTGGAGGAGGGGTGTGGCTGGGGAAAGGAATGCCCCAATATTGCATGTTAACTGCTTCTCCCCCTCCTCCCGTCGCTGCTCTGTCACATGTGGCTATGCAGACTTGGCCCTCAGGTGCTGCCTGAACGCCTCACAAACAAGCCAGCCCAGTCAACCGGGTCAACTGGGTCAACTGGGTCATCAGGGTCAACCCATTGAAGAGAGTCATCTCAATCAAGGTCAACAGGAACCCAGTCAACAGGGTCAACAAGGTCAACAGGGTCAACCCAGTCAAGAGAGGCAACAGGGAACGCGCCTGGCAGGGCTAGCCATTGCTACGTGCTGCCATCACCTGTGCGACTGGGATTCTTATGTCAGTAAGTGACTGTATTAAGGGTGACAGTATGAAGCCATAACACGCCCATGCATGCATGGCAACATGTGTGCATGGCAACATGTGTGCAGGGCAGCATGTGTGCATGGCAACATGTGTGCATGGCAACATGTGTGCATGGCAGCATGTGTGCATGGCAACATGTGTGCATGACAGCATGTGTGCATGGCAACATGTGTGCATGGCAACATGTGTGCATGGCAACATGTGTGCATGGCAGCATGTGTGCATGGCAGCATGTGTGCATGGCAGCATGTGTGCATGGCAGCATGTGTGCATGGCAACATTTGTGCATGGCAGCAGTTGTGGATGGCAGCATTTGAGCATGGCAGCATTTGAGCGTGGTGCCCTTTTGAACGGTACGTGAACTATGGGACATGCAGCAGGAGGTGTGTCTTCATTTCCTTCCTGCTTCTCTCCTTCCCTCCTTCCCTTGTTCCTTCACCCTCTCCCTCTCTTCTCCCCTTTTCCCTCTTCCCCCTATCCCCTGCCTCTCCCCTCCCTCCAGACCCGGCCTTCTTCACGCGTCTGGGCTTCGCCCCATCGGACTTTGCAGCAGTGGCGTGGATGAGCAGCTGGGCGCTGCTGGGGGAAGGTAAGGGCGCAACAGGGGGTGGTGAGGGCGCAACAGGGGGTGGTGAGGGCGCAACAGGGGGTGGTGAGGGCGCAACAGGGGGTGGTGAGGGCGCAACAGGGGGTGGTGAGGGCGCAACAGGGGGTGGTGAGGGCATGAATGGGGAGAGCATGGGAGGTGGTGAGGAGGGTCAAGATGCAGGTGAGGAGGCAGGTGGTGCGGCAGCAGCATCAGGAGCTGTCCCGTCAATAGCAGCAGCAGCAGCAGCCAAGCGGAATGGAACAGTAGTGGGAAAGGAAGGTGTGGAGGAAGATCAGCCACAGGAGGCAGCAGCAGCAGCAGCAGCAGCAGCAGCAGCACAGGCAGCAGCAACAACAGAGGCAGCAAGCAGGCCGTGGTTCGCCCATCTGTCAGTGGAGCACAAGGTGCAGGTGGGGAGGGCGTGCAAGATGCTGATAGATGCGGGGCGGCTGGAGTGGCTTCAAGGCAGGGGGCTGGGGGTGGAGTATGTGGAGTACACTACTGTTGATGTGTCGCCGGAAAACAGGATGCTGCTTGCTGTTGGCAGCCAAGAAAATCATAAAGATGCATTTGGGAACAGACTTCAGTAGTTGTAATTGAAGTTGTGGTATGCAGTTCCTACCAGTAATGGTTCGTCTGACTAACATCATCCTGTTTTCTCGGCAGCGCTCTTACGGTATCTGCAGTAATTTTCTCCCCTGCAAAGCTCCCTGATGCTTTAATCGGTTAGCTCAGCAAAACAGCAGCACGCAGCCCACCAACCAAGCCATACGTACCCCTGCCCAAGTGACGTGCGGTATGCTGCGGTAACGATTCCTCTTCATGAAACAACCAAGAACGTGGGAGAAAGGTAGTGCAAATACGCAGTTGCCAATCCAAGGTTGCAGGTCATGACGACGCCAATCACGGGAAAACTGTGGTTCAAACCCACTTCAGGTTCAAACCTATTTCAAGGCTGATCTCGAGTTGGCACAGACGCCGGCTGTTCTAAACCTTGGTTTTCAGATTGTGCATGCATTTCATCTTACGTAGTCACATGCTTTGTTATTCATAAATTCGTTTACAACTATCATTGATATGTTTCTTTTTGTTAATGCCTAGTAACTACAATTTCAGTGTTACTGTAAGGAAATTCCCTTTCCCTTACTTCGCGTCCCTGCTCAACGCGTACGTCACTGTAGCACCTCAGTCAGCACCGTTACCACTCACGACCATCGCATCATTCATTATCCCGCCCTCTTCGCACATCGCATCCCAACCTCACGGCTCGGTTGGTAACCCGCGCTCCGGGCCTACGCTTCGACACTTTCCCAACCTCAGCCCCAGGCTCGTCGCGCGACAACCACAGTCCATTACCGTTACCACTATTGTTTCGCTATATAATCCTTCGCTCATGCCTTCGCTCATTGTACTCTTTGCTTCGATAGTGCAATTCTCGTTCGTTCACTCAATTGCACTCGTAACACTTTGGTAATCAGAGCCTACGATCTCATCTCGGACCGCATCCACACCTTCGCTTCCCACTATCTCGATTTTTGGGGGGGGTAGACGTCTCTCAGCGACACAGCACCGCCGCTCGTAGTGCTCTCTCGCAAGCACGCACGGCCACGACCGAGGCTCTCGCTGAGCTTGCCCGACACCCCCGCCATGGCCGACCTCACTCTCGCCACGTTGACGCAGGAGCAACTCGATCGTCTCGTGCGACAATTGGAGGATTCGGCGCTTGAAATCGCGACGCTCACGGCGGAACGTGACTCCGCTCGTCAACAGTCAACGGTGAATGCTCCGACAACATCCCATGCACCAACCAATGTCTCTGTACATTCGGAGGAGCCGATTATCATTTCATCCGGCACACCAACGCAACACAACAGCACGGGACAGCGCTCAGGCGCAGCCAGTGACGGCGCAGCCCAACCGATGCCCGGCATGGGAGGGAACAGGAGCACGCTAAGCCCACGGGAGCCCCGAGAAGCCCGTCGGCACGTGGAGTTTGCGACGACAAGTGGTGAAAACGCCATGATGGCCCCAATGCCACTCAAGCCGCAACGCCCGCCCTGCTTCGACCCAAGCCAACGCGGCGGCCCGACAGTTCAATCATGGGTCTTCACGATGAATGTGTTTTTCGACGCCAACTACGTCGAGTCGGACGCCGCCAAGATTCGGTATGCGGTTTCACTACTCAGGGGCCCCGCCATGGACTGGTGGCGAGTCATCGTGACGTCGCCACGCGCCTACGAGCCACCGTCGCACGAGGAAGGGCCCTCGGGTCCAGCTGTCACCTGGAGTTCGTTCTGCGAAACAGCCCAATACAGCACGTGGGATGCGTGGTGCGCAGGGCTTCGGGCGCGTTTTGAGCGGATCGCGGCTTCGATTTCGGCGCGTCAGAAACTGCGCACTTGGCGCCAGCTCGGGTCGGTTCAAGACTACACCAGCGGTTTTCTCGCACTTTGCGAACAGGTCGGCTACATGCACGAGGCGGAGCGGGTGGACCGTTACGTCGGAGGGCTGAAGCCGGACATATCGCACGAGATAATGCTACGCGGGCTATCGAATTTCAACGAAATCCTCGCGCTCGCCGAGAAAATCGATATCCTACGCCGACCGAGACCGGGGTCCTATTTCGGACATCGTCCTCGGGGACCGATCGAGCACGCCACTGTACATGCCGTCGCAACGAATGCAGCTGCCACGCCATTTAGAGGGCGCTGCTTTGCTTGCAACCGGCCGGGCCATCGCAAGAGCGAATGTCCAGAGGAGCTGAGGCGTCGAGGAACAGAGCAGGGGAAGGAGTCTCGGAGGCAGGGAAACGCCAGCAGTCAGTAGAAGTTGGGCCAACTACTGACGAGACTGCCTGCTCGCCCAACCACACCGACCCTCACCGAGTCACAGTACCGATTCACGCCATCGATCGGGCTCGGATGAATAAGGAGGGTACAGCGACGGATTGCCCGGTACTGATCTACGGGAAAATACAGGGAGCAGCAGTGAAAATCTTCATTGACGGAGGGGCAAGTCACAGCTTAGTTAATACTGCAACCGCACGGAGATTACAGTTAATACTTAACCGATGTTTACCTGAGATAGATGCACGCTTAGTCGACGGCACGCCATTGGCCATACGAGAAAAAGTGGAGCGAGTAAAAGTCCGCTGCGGGGGAAACTTCGGGTTTACACAGGAAATGCTCGCAACGACGCTGGATGGGCACGACATTTTACTGGGACGTGATTGGCTACGACGGTACAACCCACGGATTGACTGGACGACGGGGAGCTGCACAGTGCGAAGTAGCGGTAACTGGGTCGTCCTACCTCGCTGGCGGCCACCCGAATCTTCGACAGTCCAGGTCAACGCTATCACGATGAAACGGGCTGTCGTTGCTGGAGCCGACGTGTACGCAGTAGATATCGCAGTGGTAGAAAAAGACGAGCAGCAGAATGATTTAAAGAAACTGCTAGCAGCCGTACCGACCGAATTACAGACACTACTGAAACGGTTCCCGGGGATATTTCCGGATGATTTACCACAGGGACTGCCACCTCAGCGAGCGCACGACCACAGGATCGAGCTAGAACCGGGGGCACAGCCAACAGTACAGCGGCAATTTCGACTGACACAGCCCGAGCTCGACGAGTTAAGGAAGCAGTTAGATTACCTGTTAGAGAAGCAGTTTATTCGACCAAGCTCGTCACCGTTCGCCGCACCCATACTGTTCACACCGAAAAAAGACGGAGGTTTTCGCATGTGCATCGACTACCGAGCGCTTAACCGAGTAACAGTCAAATCGCGATACCCCATCCCCCGCGCCGACGAACTGATTGACCAACTGCGAACAGCACGTGTCTTTTCGAAAATAGATTTACGGGGAGGTTACCATCAGATTCGGGTCGAACCATCGGACTGCGCAAAAACAGTATTTAGGACTAGGTACGGGTCATTCGAGTATACAGTAATGCCTTTCGGGTTGACGAACGCGCCTGCGACTTTTCAGATGACCATGAACGAGGCGTTTAGACCACTTTTAGATAAATGCGTGATCGTTTACCTCGACGATATCCTCGTTTACAGTCGGGATAAGCAGCAACACTTAGCAGATCTTGAAGCAGTTTTTAAGGTTTTAGAGGAACATCGGCTGCTCACCAAGGGCTCCAAGTGCGAGTTTTTTAGGGATAGGCTAGAGTTTTTAGGTCACGTCATTTCCGAGGCTGGGGTTGAGATCGACCCAAAGAAGCTGGATACGGTAAAAGCGTGGCGCCCCCCGACAAACATCACAGAACTGCAGAGTTTTTTAGGGTTTGTTAATTACGTTCGACGGTTCGTGCCCGACATGGCACGTTTAACAGCCCCACTAACTGATTTACTGCGTAAGGGGGTCGCTTTTACGTGGGGGGAGAAAGAGCATGCTGCCTTCTCTGCCCTAAAACACGTCCTCTGTTCACCACCCGTTCTACGTATCGCTGATCCCCACCGCCCTTTCGAAGTGGTTACCGACGCAAGTGACATCGCCATCGGAGCTGTACTGTTACAGGACTTCGGCAACGGCCTCCAACCCATCGCCTACGAATCACGCAAACTACATCCGCCTGAGCGAAATTACCCGATACACGACCGCGAAATGCTCGCGATCGTGCATGCATTCAAAGTTTGGCGCTGCTACTTGACTGGCGCAGACGTGACAGTACGGACAGACCACCGATCTCTACAGTACCTCCGCGCACAGCCCCACCTCAACCCACGACAGATTCGATGGCTCGATTTCCTCGAGTCGAATTTTCACTATACGGTCACATACAAAAAAGGAGCATCGAATATCGCCGACGCACTGACCCGCCCCACTGCCCAGATCCACGCGATACTACTCGCCCAGACCAGCCCACTGCTTACCGGCCTATTTACCCACGGATATCAAACAGACTCGTTCTTTACAGGAGGCAACTCACAGCAATTCGCAGCGGCAAAAGGAGTCTATTACGTAAAAACTGGAACCGACCGCATCTGGGTACCGGGATACACGCTACTGCGGGAACTACTGTTACAGGAAGCACACGACGGAGTTACCTCGGGACATTTCGGGGTAGAAAAAACACGGCAGCAGCTGCAGCGGTACTACTACTGGCCAGAAATGTTGACCGATGTGCAACGACACGTGGCATCGTGTCCCACTTGCCAGCTCATGAAGTCAAGCAGGAAGCGACCAGCGGGGCAATTACAACCCATCCCGCCTCCAGAGCGTGCTTGGCAGCAGGTGACGATGGACTTCGTCACGGGGTTACCAGCTGGGGCGAGTGGAAATGACGCGATCCTGGTCGTCGTCGATCGACTAACGAAAATGGCTCATTTCGCAGCATGCAGGAAATCCATCACAGCCGAAGAAACCGCCCGACTATTCATCTCCACCGTCGTACGACTGCACGGGATACCCGCGTCGATCATCAGCGACAGGGACACGAAATTTACCAGCAACTTCTGGCGGAACCTGTGGCAGCAGTTCGGCACGCGCTTACAGTTCAGTTCATCCTATCACCCCGAAACCGACGGACAGACGGAACGGACAAATCAGACCATGGAGCAGCTGATTCGAGCCACGTG